CAAGGCAATATGGGTCATTCATCACAATGAAATAGAATTAGTCTCTACACATAAAATAGGTAAAAGTACAAGTTGATAGTAGTAGGAAGACAGGTGAACTGATAATAGTGAGAATAATAAAATACAATAACAAAACTCTTATCAATAGTTAAACGTTGGCAATAGAAGGTCAAACAAACGTGGGTAAATAGACTTGGAATAGTAATCACAAAACATTTAAATTATTACGTAATAAGATGTGTGTAAATAATTAGATGGTGAAGAATACAAAGAGGCGGATAATGACAAACAAATAATGGATGTGGAAATAAGGTTAATGATAACACAAATAGAATAAAGTAAATAATGACAATAATAAAATTTAAAATAAAAATAATGATAATGAAAATAAATAATAATAATAATAATAATTGTTAGTTAAGTTATAACTGGCCATGGAAGGGATAGGGGAGTCACGTATTTCTTTTGTACACATAAATTGGGGTTATATGTACGAATTCCAATGGCTTCAGCTATATATAGGAGACGGGAACGGACTCCGTCGGGAAATGATGGAGGTATACGATAGATAACTCGAAATGATTTCGATTTATCTACTGCATGACCGCTATCAATAAGATGTGCCAATATAGAACTGCGAATAGTTTTTCTCTGGCCCTTTATGTACCAATTTGGTAGGTGTTCACTCATTCGTTGGTTAAGTTGCCTGGTAGTACGCCCTATATAGCTATCTCCACAGGAGCAGCTGAATTTGTAAATGCACATGGAAGAGGCCAACTCAGGTAACTTATCCTTCGTTTGAGTAGACATCGCTGGTCGACAAGAGAAGGTCAACGCAAGATTGGCTGCGTAGAATGTCCTGGTGATTACTTTGGTTAACCTATATTTCAGAGTGTCACTAGCCACATCCCCGTTGAATTGCACTTTCATGTATAAAGGTTTTGTAAAATGTGATTGATAGACGAACCCACCAATAATAAGGGAAACGCCCACCACCACATCAACTCCTTTTGACCTTGTACGACTGTATCTCTTTATTAACCAATCACAGTTTAATGTCTATTGTAAAACAATATTGGCTTGTTGACTCATTTTTCCTATTCTCTAGCTACTGTTCGGTATGTTATTTGTCTCTGTTTTTCTCTGTATTAATAGACCCTAATGTTTGTTTGTACGCTAACGATGTTAATTTATGTTTTAGAAACAGATAAAGTTTATATAGCCAAATAGCTTACTTGTTCTGACTTTGGCTAAACCAAGACTCTGTACTCGACAGTCTAGAGATTAGCTTAGAGTTGAATCTGTAGGAAATTGCTTCCTACAAAGTTTCGAACAGTACATTCGATATACCTACTGAAATGACTTCCAATAAACACTACGATTCCGATGAGATTCCAGAATTATCACCACATCATTCAGGAGTTTATGATGAGGATCAACTTGGGAAGAACGAACTCAAAAACAACAGCATGATAGAACTAGAGTTAGCTAGGTTGCGCATAACCCAGTTAGAAAAGGAAATTGAACTAGAAAAATTACGCTGCCAGAGATGTGAAGGTTCCGGCCAATCAGTAAGCAACAGTGTGAATACAATATTAAAAAATCTGTATTTACCAAAAAGAGAAGTCTTAAGGTTTGATGGTACACCGACAAATTATTGGAATTTCATTAGAAATTTCGAAGAATGCATTGGGAGTGAGAATATTGGATTTAGAGCTAAGCTAAATTACTTGATTCAATATTGTGACGGAGAAGCGAAAGCCGCTATCCTTCATTGTACTATACTAGAACCAGAGATAGGTTACCATCAAGCCCTAAAGCTTTTAGAAGAAATGTTTGGCCAAAAATACGTCGTAGCACGCACGTTTATCGATAATTTGTTAAACTTACCCAATATAAGGAGAAATCAACCAGATGGTTTGAGAAGACTATCTCGAGAAATGCAAGCATGTAGTTTGACTCTCGAACAGATGAATTACGTTTCTGATTTGAACTCTTCTAGAACTATTGAAACTATGGTTCTGAAATTACCAACGCACATTCAACAAGAGTGGCTAAAGGTAGCTTATAAAATTATCAGAGGAGGCAGAGAACCTCTGTTTACCGATCTTGTTGATTTTGTAAAGGAGCAAGCTGATATAGCTAATACTAGATACGGCCTACTCGTCAACCGCGGTAGTAATAGTGACAATAGAGATGTTGACGTTTTAAAAAGGAAAATTAGTACAGATTGCAATGCAGCAAGAATATCTTATGCGAGTGCTAGTGATGATAATGCTCTCTTACGCAGTTCATCTTGTTTGGAGTGCTCCAGTAATCATTCTTTAGATCAATGTCAGAAATTTAAAGACAAGAATGTTAGAGAAAGGAAGGAATTCGTTCTTAGACACAAGTTGTGTAATGTATGCCTGAAGGCTAACCACGTAGCAAAAAACTGTCGATCGCCGAGGTCGTGTGCTGTCGAAGGGTGTGGCTGGAGACACCATACCCTGTTACATGAGTTGCGGGAAGAACCAAGGAATACTAATATTGATGCACACATTAACACCCAGCTATGTACGGAGAAAAGTGTTGAGAGCGTACAGAAACAAGCAGCATTCGCAATAGTGCCTGTACTGGTAAGAAATGGAGAAAAGGTAGCACAGACTTGTGCCTTCTTAGATAGTGGGTCGGATGCCTCTCTTATTACAGAAGATCTAGCTAAAAGGTTGAATTTAGAAGGAGAGCCTAAGACGATTTCGTTGAGAACGTTGGATAACCATTCCACAATTCAGTGTAAAGAGGTTCAACTAGAGGTTTCATCCTTAGACTCGTCTTCGTCATTTAGAATCCCAAACGTATGGACAGTCGAGAGATTACCTATGTTGCGCAGGATGGTACCAACGACGTCTCAAATGAAATCCTGGACGCATTTAAAAGACATAAGTTTTCCTAGAGTAGAGGATGAGAATGTCGAACTGTTGATCGGGTGCAATGCACCGAGTGTACACGAAATGAAAGAGGTAAGAACTGGAAAGCCGAATGAACCATTCGCCGTGAAGACTCTGTTAGGTTGGACGCTGTTCGGTTCCTATGGGGAACCCTGTAAAAGCAATCGTGTACTCAATCACCTCTCAGCTAAAGAGGAATTAGAGGATAAGTTTGAACAATCGTATTCAACTGAATTCAAAGACCGACTTAGTCGTACTTCATCGATGTCTGTGGAGGATCGTATAGCATCATCAGAATCTGCATATGGTGTCGCGGGGTATACTCGTTCCGAAGATGTCTCTCGTCAAATTCATTGTTCGTTTTTATTAACTAAGTATAAGGTTGTTAAGCCAAAAACTGAAGCATCATCTGCTAATAAATCCAAATCAACTCTAAGAAAGCTTAAGGAAAAGGACATCAAACTGAAAGTGAAGACTACGAAAAAGCCGAAGACCACTGTAACGAAGAAGCCAGTAACTAAGACCCTGAAGAAGCAGGTAGCACATATTCGCCGTGGTATCGAGGATGGTGTTGAGAAAGGCACCCTTGTACGAGTTGTGAACAAGAGTAAGGGTGCATCTGGTAGTTCTATAGGATCCAATGCTATTCTTAGACAGATCATGTGTAGTTGGAATCAGAATAAGACAGTAAATGCCCTTTTAAAGAGAGGTTGTGAATGGCGCTTTAAACTTCCGAGGTCTAGTCAACGAGACGGTGTATGGGGACGCATCATAAAGTCGATAAGAAGAATTCTGCGATCACTATTGTTTCGGAAAGTATTGATGGATGAGTCTTCGAGAGACTTAGTGTTATTAAACAATGTTGGCTCACTGAGAAGTCTATGGTCCAAAGCTATTGTCGAACAAGTAAGCTATGGCTTTGACGGACGAGTTCGTACGGCAAAATTGAGAACCTCAAACGAAGAAACTGCTCGGGACGTACGACGCTTATGTCTACTAGAAGGAGCCGGCTGTCTGACGGCGACGACGACCCTGGACAACGGACGTGGTGCGCGTTTCGGGGGGAGTGTAAAATGTGATTGATAGACGAACCCACCAATAATAAGGGAAACGCCCACCACCACATCAACTCCTTTTGACCTTGTACGACTGTATCTCTTTATTAACCAATCACAGTTTAATGTCCATTGTAAAACAATATTGGCTTGTTGACTCATTTTTCCTATTCTCTAGCTACTGTTCGGTATGTTATTTGTCTCTGTTTTTCTCTGTATTAATAGACCCTAATGTTTGTTTGTACGCTAACGATGTTAATTTATGTTTTAGAAACAGATAAAGTTTATATAGCCAAATAGCTTACTTGTTCTGACTTTGGCTAAACCAAGACTCTGTACTCGACAGTCTAGAGATTAGCTTAGAGTTGAATCTGTAGGAAATTGCTTCCTACAGGTTTCTTACGAACAGTCGAAATCTCCGACTTCTTTATTATATCCTGCATGTAATTCTTAATGAACGCGCTGGGGTAGCCGATCTCGGTCAGTGAGTTGTTGATAAATTCAAGTTCCTGACTTAGAGTGTCTACTGTACAGATCTTTTTGCTTTGCTCGTGAGACATCTGACCAAATTTCTCTTGTAACGGATGGGTGTGAAACTGCAGAAGTGAGTATATTGGCATGAAGAGGGGTTTCTTCTATACACGCTTCTACTTAATGTGCCGTCACTTCGTCTGCTTAGTGTGACGTCAAGGAAGCTCAGCTTCTTATCATGCTCGCTTTCACCAGTGAAAGTGATCGCTGGGTGAACACTGTTGAATTGGTCTAGGAGTTCCTCTTTACTAGTGTTTTGATCTACGATAATGAATGTGTCGTCAATGTATCGGCAATATAAATCCAGTTTCTTAATAGTCTCATTGAGAGGTCCGTTTTCTAGCTTTGCTAGGAAGAGGTCAGCTAAAATCGGGCCTAGAGGCGAGCCCATGGCTATCCCGTCTATTTGTCTATAGTAAGTATTGTTGAAGACAAAATGTACATTCAGAGTGCATCTTAGGAGCAGTTCTCTTAGGCTATCGTTAGGCAAGCCAATGTTGATTTGTTTTTTTTTTATATTTGCTTACATATAAAATCAATAGTCTCTAAAAGTGGTACGTTGGTGAACAAAGATTCTACATCCAATGAGATCATATTTTTCATACTGACATTAATATTTTCTACTTTGGAGGTGAAGTTGAAGACATCTTTTACACTATTTCTAACAACTGATTTGTGTAAAGGTTCTAACATTCGTACTAGCCACTTTGCGATTTTGTGGTAAGGAGAATTGTACATATCTAGAACTGGGCGTAGAGGAAGACCCGATTTATGTACTTTAGGCAAACCATACAATCGTGGTGTAAATGATCCAGTCGGCTTAATTGAATCGTAAATCTCAGTCGTAATTATTCCCTTTTTCGTTAGGTCTTTAAGGAAATTGGCCAATTGACCCATATTGCCTTTATTGGTTTAAAAATTTTCGTATAAATATTCATGTATATTAGAGTAAAGCCTGATGACGATCTAATTGAAAACAATTGTTCGCTTATATGTGTTGTTCTAATTTTCACAATGGGAATCTTTAGATATTTATATGACATTTGACTTTTTACAAGGAAAAATTGAAGTCAGACATTAACACTTTTGGATGTCGGCTTAGTGGTCTAAAGGTTAAATGTTCGCTCGCGTGATCAAAGATCCTGAGTTTACGTTTCCCGTGCGGTATCATGGATGCGAACTGCTGGGGAGTTCCATACTGGGACGAAACGGCCGTCCTATGCTTAAGTCAACTCATGAATTCAGCTATTAGGATTTTATATGAGTTTGAAATGAATCTTTTTTCCAGTTTATTCTACGGGAACAACAAGAAAAGACAACAATTAAGTATGATTGCAGCTTTTATAAAAAGGTGTCCGAAGAAAGAAGAAATTAATTAACTAGTAGTAAACTACATAGAATAAGAGAAAAAAATGTCGACATTTTCTTTGTGAAATAAAAACAAACAAGCAAACAAAATAGAAGACATTATAAAGTTTCGAATTTCTTTTCTTTGAATACAATAATAAAATGGAATTAAAAATCAATTTGAATGTGTATGGTTGCTTTAACTTTTTTATTGTGCAAGACATGATGTTTTGTTGTTTCCAACCACATTTCATTTGAACTCATTTAGTTATTCTTGTTGTCAACGTTGTTGTTTGCGTTGAACAGTTAAGTTTTCATTATTTTGACTTCAATTTTTTTTAAATCGAATCGGAGACAAAAAAAAACAGGAATTAATCCTAATGGAAAAGCTTTTCAAATAAATAGTGAACAAGATTATGGATCATCAGAGAAAACTGCTATGGAATTTATAAACAGCTACATCGAATCAGATCGTTACCCGGAATTGTGATATACTTCATAACAACAGTACGGAGTCTATCAGAATAGAGTGACACTGAACAAAACGGATGCCTTGAATTCTAAAATTGCAAAGATATGTATGAATGTTTTTCGCATAAAATAAGCCAACGGATGATCCAAGAATTCCCTTCACGGACTATGTAACAAAACTTAAGGAATCATTCTAACCACATAGATACAGATATTCAGTTCAAAAACCTATATAGTCAAACAAGGTATCCAGTTGCAATTTTGATCAGGAACTTGAACAGTTAAAGTCCGATCTTGTAGACTGTTGTTATCAGAGTAAAAGCAGTAAATGTAACTCCAAAAGCATTCTTTAGATGAAGTTTAGGAAAGTTATTCACATGCTCCCAAACGACGAAACGTTATTTATTACAACAGGGGTTGTTTTTAATAAAAGTGATTATATTGAAAAAATAGGTACCATTTTAGATGACAAATTAAAATTTCAAAAATGAACTGACCAGAAAGATCTGAATAATAGATAAAGAATGACGCATCACTTTACTGTCGATATATGGATAGCACGTTCACCTTCTGTAAAGGTAGCATATTACAACTAGTGGTCTTTAAGCAGCTTATTGAAGTACACTCGGCCATTAATTTTACATCTGAAGAAGAAAGTGAAGGTAGAATAGCCTTTTTGGACAATCTATTAACAAAAAGAGCTGATGGATCAATAAGATGAAATTTAATAAAGAGTACCTGAACAAGGCATTACAAACATCTCTTTATTTTCGTACCTTTACAGTACAAAAGAAACCTGATCAAAACTCTTAGTTATCGGACACGTACTATATATTCTATGTGTATAGTTGATGAAGAACCAAACACCTTGCGGAAAGTTTATAAACAGATATACGATCAATTAGGTTAGAATAGGCGAAATTCGAATAGTGAATAAGAAATCCGTGTTCATACGCCTACAATTCAGAAAAGATGCAGCTTGTGAAATATCAATCCAGAGATAACGCGGAAAAATCCTAAGAACATTCAACGCCAGAAACACTATAACTAGTGTTTTCTACGCGCTCATCGGTGGCTAAAAGATGAATTAGCTAGAATGACCGCCCCATTTTGTATCTATAAATTCTACTGTTCTTGCAGAGCAAGTTATATTAGTTGGAGTTCTAGGTATTTGAATCTTCGTGCTCGTGACACATCCTAGTGAGGCTAAGCAAAGGTTTAGTGAAGTAAATGAACAGCTCTATATTGGCCCATTTAGTGCAGTGATCATAGTGCCGGTATAAACCAATCCTGCTCAATATTTTACCGGGTCAGTAACATTTTGCCTAGGTCTGTCAGACTCAGTCCTTCAAACATCAGTGATAGTAGTCGTTAGGATTAAAAAGCTATAGCTATATGTGCAAAATAAATATCTTTAACCGCTTCTCCTACCTTGGTCAACCTTAGGGTTAATTATTTTATAACAATATTAACTATCGAGCAACTTAATTTGACCAATTTACACACAACCTTCCTTAATCAAATATAATTGTCTTTATTATCTTTATATTATTATTGGTTTAACATTATTATTAATCTCTTGAATACATAATTAATTTACTCAGCACTCATCCAACTTTATTATTTTCTAATAATTTCACATAAATTCTGACACAAAACTTTCGATTGAATTTGTAATTGCCTAATTATTTTTTTAACCAATCAGATTCATATTCGTTAACTCCATTTTCAAGTTTAAATACATAGCAGTTAACTAAAAGGTTTATTACTAATCAGAATTGTAATTTAATGTTTATATTTGTGTTTAAACTTAAGTGATTTTGTAATATCATTTTCTAAATGAATATTCTCTGTGGACAGTAATTATTATGGCAAATAAATAATCAGCGTATAGGTATATATAGCTAATCATTGTCAGGTAGAGACAGGTATCTACCTCAGATAGTGGAAAATGGTCTCAAGATTTCGCAGATTGGTTGAAATCAGCCCTTAACACCGTCGGATGCCGTCTCAGTGGTCTAGAAGTCAAGTGTCCGTGCGCGAAACTAAGGGTTCCGGGTTCGAATCGAGCACGCGGGGTTGTGGGTACGCATTGTTGAGCAGTTTAATACTGGAACGGCACGGCCGTCCAGTGCTCCCAGGTTTTCAATGGTGATCTAACCTTGATCGATTCATGATCTCAATCAAAGCTCAGCAATTTCTACAACCCCATACTGATGTCACATATTGTACCATGTAATAAACCCTATTCGATACCAACCTTGTGAGTATTCTTTGAAATATTCATTGGAATCAATTAGTTACTTATTGGATGCTAATACAGAAACCAAGACAATATCTTCCTTTGAGTAAACGCTTTGTGTACAAATGTATCTCTTAGAAAGACCATTAGTGCTTTGTGTGACTACGCCCCATTAAACAGTCTTCAACTGACGTTGCCTGTCAAATCTCTTAGAGATTTATTATTATTACTATGTACTGACAATGTGAAATTCGCTTTTGAGGAAGAGCATTTTGGACTGATCTATGGCATAGCTATGGGTAGCTGTTTATGATAATTGGTGGCCGATGTGTTTATGGTATATATGGAATAACCGGGTCCTTTTTATAGACATACTGATCAGTAGGAAAGATAATGGTTCCATCAAAACGTTCTGTATATAGAAAACTGATATGGACAAAGCAGTATCTTAGTTTCCATGGTCACTGTCCAATCTGGTACAAACGTGGAATTATAAGGGGCTTATTCAATAGGATCAGTCGTACTTGCACTAGCGATACGATTGAGGGAGATGTACAGACCCTAATTGAAACATTGATAAATAACGGTTGCTCATTAAGGTTTATAAACCATCGAAAAGGCAGCAAGATCATGAGACCCGAAAATCGATCATAGTTTTCCCTACCATTCAGAGATGACACAAATTGGCTTATCTTGAAAACGGCGTAAACTGGATATCAGTAAAACCTTTTACGTAGCCCAACTCATCACTATCGAAAACTCAAGATCTATGTTTCACTAGGAACGTAAACACCATGTAAACTATTGCCACATTCTATTGCGTCTATCAATTTACATGTATGTGCGGAAACACATACATAGACAGATGTAATCGTGATCTCCGATAAAAGGTGGTTGGACACATACTTAAATAGCTGCTGAAACAGATGAATTCCAATGGTCAAATAAGATCACAGGATGGACAAGTATCTCCATACATTGATAAGTATTTGGTTGAGACTTGTCATATGGTTAATAAAACGTCAGCCAATGTAGTGTTACACAGAAGTCTTAAAGGTCGCATACCAAGTTTTATCGAAGCCGTGACTTTACGCAAGCTGAAACCCTCTTTATGCGTTGGAAAACATATCTTCAATAAGCTGGAGTCATTTACAAATGATCGGTTGCGTCCCAGCCTTTCCATGTTAGGCTTATCGCACTAGTAAGTACATCGTAATTATCAGTATAGGGTTGTGGAGAATGTTGAGTTTCCATCTACACAACCTGCACAACCCTATACTGAAAAACATCTTATTACTTCACACCCATTGGATATTTAAGAACTGTTATCAATTAATTAACACTGCAGAAAATCATAAATCGTATATTGTATGCCTATTACACTAACTATTACTCGAAATTTAAATCATGGAGGTCATTTATAGTGTTATTATACAGATTAGTAACATTATTCGAAAGAAATCAATCAAATTACGATAATGTAATGGAAAGTTAATTGTTTATATATTATAGTGTAATCTGTAAGCTGTGAGAATGGACACACAAGAACCAGGATATTTGTATGTATGTTCAATTGTATGGACAAATAGTCAGTATAATAATTGAATAAATAATTTATAGAGAAAAAAGTTTACATTTTAGTATATAAATATTCTAAACTATTTAGATTGTTTATTTATATGATGATAATGATTCAGTACAATATTTACTTATTACAATATTACATAATATTTTTTTTTTTCGTTTCGTTTATTATTAACAAGACTTGGTGGACATTATTAGTTTTATCAGCCGTTTTCTTTTTATGAGAGAGCTTAACAAAGCTTATGTCACTAGTAGTTAATTTAGACAAGGCTAGTGATGACAAAAAGACGATTTACTTTCAGAAAATGATCGCTAATATCAGTTCGTGATACTTGCTCATTGAGGCCACACCTTCCAATATGGATACTTTTCATTCATTAGAATTCTAGAGCTAGTCTAGGAGCTTTAGATATATTTTGTAATTGACGTTCAAATTAGATAAACACTTAGACGAAGAGTATATAAGATCCTTGTCAGTTCCTTTAGGACCACCCTTCCATAAGTACACAGACGCCTTTCAAACAGGAAGCGGCCTACGTCGGCTCTTTCTTCACTAGAATATAGCGGTATCCCGACAAATGTAAACGCATGAGAAATATCTACTGAACCCACAAACACATGTAATGTTTAGTACTGATTTAACATATCCGTAGAATGGGCAAAGCAAATAACTATTTGAATCCTATTGACGTCTTGGAAGGTGGAAAATATATCCATGACTCAAGGCGATATACTTCACATAATCACTGACTATTGATAATGTGTATATAGGAAGTTGTGGAACTTCTAGTTGTGCACCGCACAAAAATCGTAATCTATGGTTGGAGAGTATAGATCACATAACTAGAAATCAATGAGTTTAAATAATTCCTTACTTTAGTGTAATTTCATGGGTTTCATTATTTGATCTCATTAGTTGTTTTGAACCAACTACTGAATTCAGAAGCACATGTAATATGTAGTACCGATTCAACATATTAGTAGAATGGGCAAAGTAAATATTTTGAATTACAAATATATCTCACTCATACAACAAACGTGCATAGAGCACAACAACTTGCCTCTGAGTAGTTACTTAAGTGACTTAAATGGAAAGAAACGAATAGGATCGTATGGGATTCTATATTTTACTGAAACGCTATTCCACTTCTACGATTTTGTAAGAAATGTTGTTTAACCCCTCCTTCCGACAAATTGTAGGACGAAAAAGAGGATTGATGTGTACGAACAGAGCAATTCATTTTATTTGTCAACTTGCTGCCAATACTGTCTATCATAGAAAGATACACGGGATAAGGAACAAAAATTGATTATTCTCATGCGCATGTACTTATACACACACAAACGTGCGTACAAGGATTAAATGTTTAGCTTATAAAAAACTACATATTAGAAAGTACTTTAATTACGGAAACAAAGGATAAGAAAGAATATGATACAACTCAGTAGATATTTTCACGATAACTGTGCAATTCATAGGAAAGTATGAACTAAATGCGATCGAACATGATGATTATGTGATCACTTGTAATAAGAGTTTGTGTATGTGAGAGAGATAGATAGGAGAAAGGAATTTAAGGAAAAACAAGAGAGAGAGAGAGAGAAAAAAATAAGACCGTAGAATAAAACCGATGTGATTTTCATCGGTGTTTAATATTTATCTACGTGAATGTCGAGATGGTCCTTGGGATTCTGAAGTTGAATATATAGTAATAGAACCCGGATTATTATTAATATTATTGTTAAGATTAGATTCCATATTCATTGAATCTAATGACGAACGTTGATGATGGTGGTGATGATGAGCTGAGGAACAAGAAAGAAACAAGACGAATTTAATAAAACCCACAGTAGTTTACGTATCGTTAATAGGCTACAATATTGATACCACACAAGTAATACATTAGAGAACTGACTAGTAGTAAATAAATAGTAAATAGTATAATTTGTAATATATTTTTAATTATTGATGATAAATTATAAAGTGAATTGTGCAACTATGACCCGTAACTTAACAATACTTACGAATGATCGATTAGTATATGAGGGGAAATAAAAAATTAGAAATGTAGGTATTTATAATGACGTTTTCACTAAATAAGAACTTTCGTCTAAATTTGAACGAATAGTTTCACAATATTGGGGCGCCGAGTTAATGTGAGACGTTTTAACTTCTTTTATGAGAATTCCCCCACATCACTAGTTATAACTTTGCATTTAATCAACAACAATATTAATGATAATTCTCATCAAGAACCGACATCAACTTGTTAACAAATATTGTAAATCAAGGAGAACTGAACATATTATATGTTTAAAACAATTAGTCCCTTTGATAAAATTCGATAATGCAATGAGAAGACGTAGTTTATCAGAATTATGTGATACATTTGCGCAATACATTTCGAACAATCTGATCACACATATACTTGTTGAGAACATTCATATATGAAAATTAAAACGTCGACTAGACAGGTTAAGGGTAAGTCATAACAAAGGAAAAATATTAAAGTACATAAAAACAAATGTGATTACCACTCTGGATAGTAAATCAGTACTACCAGGGTAGGTTAAGTGTAAGCACAGATTGTTTTTGAACATATAAAGAGAGTTTCAGTTTTCGTATAGCCAAGGCTTTTGTACAACACAACAAATGCTGATTTGATATCAACCTTATGACCCGTCTCAATCAAATGTTTCGCAATGGATGATGATGTCTGTCTATCCTGTGATCTTATGTATTGCGCAAATATATCACATAATTCTGATAAACTACGTCTTCTCATTGCATTATCATATTATATGTGAAAATTATATTTGAAATATTCTCAGCGATTGAAATTTAACTAATTCCGACGTTTCGTCCAGCTAACTTGTCTGAACTTCTTCAGGGTGATAATCAAAATCAAAATTATCAAAGAAATATATAGCTTTTCAACAATCAGGATTATATTGTGTTAAACCAATCATATTTGGATGTTGATTTTTTGTAAAATAGGATAAAATGAGTCAGTTAACTAGAAATCGTGTGGAGAAATCAACGACATGGAAACAAACCGTGTGTGTGTGTGTGTGTGTGTAGGTATGTATGTATGTGTGAGAGATTGATATGAAGGAATAAATAAAGTTCAAGTTCAAGGATGAAAAATTGATAATGAAACATCGATGTACATGTCAAAACATAAATTGAATTGTTTAAAAACTCATTGAATTCTTTCAAAAATAATAACGATGCATGTGATATTAAAAAACAGGTTTAAACAAGAGATAGGTTCCAAATTTACTTGTCAAACGAAATTTGCCAGGTAGTTGCCAGTTGAATACCATCTTTTCGGTTCAGGCTGTTCTTGTTCGCCCATATTATGCAGCGCTTCTGCTGTCAATCTTTCTTCATGGGTGTTAAAACCTTTCTGAAATATTTTGGTCCCTTCAAAATTAATCTTGTGTCCTGTTTCTAACGCATGTAACGCTATCGCTGACTTATTTTCAAGTTTCTTTAAATCGACCGAGGATTTTTGAACATTTTTCAAGCATTGTTTGTGTTCCTACAATCTTACATTCAATTGCCTGGATGTTTCTCCAACATAGGTAGCATTACAGTGAATCTCATACACAATTTTCTGTTGTTCTTCCGTTGCTAACTTGTCCTTAACTTTCACTAATGTCGATCTTAATGTGTTATTCGCTCTAAAATATACTCTTATATCATGTTTGTTTAGAATCCGTTTGATTTCTTCTGATGTTTCACTACGGTAAGGTATGACTACGGTGTACTTCCATTCTTTTCGTATACATTCTAGTTTAGTTTTTCTTTCATTTTTAATAATCTTCTTTAAAAACCTTTTTGGGTAGTTGTTATCCCTAAGAGTAGAAAATGCTTTATTTAATTCGGTTCGTTGGTCATCCTTGTCTGTAACAATCTCGATACTTCTGTTCATTAGATTTTTTACTACATTAATTTTCGTGCTCTGTGAATGGGCTGAATTAAGATCCAAGTATCTCTCGGAATGTGTTGATTTTCTGAAAACATTTATTTTTAACTTCTTATTATTGTGTCGACGATCAACCAAACAATTTAGAAATGCTAGTTTGTGGTCAACTGATTCTAATTCCTTATTTAGTTTAATGTTTTCAGAAATGCTGTTTACATTGTTAAATAGTTCTTCCATACCATCCCGTTTATTGATAACAAAAATATCGTCTACATACCTTAACCATAACTTTGGTAGACATAAACTTTTTGCGATTGCACTAGTTTTTAGGGAATGCATGAATAAATTCGCTACAATCGGAGAAACTGGTGAGCCCATTGCTATACCCTCTTTCTGTCTGTAAAGTTGACCTCGAAATATGAATAAGGTAGATCTTAACCATAATTCTAAGCATTTTATAACCTCTGATGGATCTAATGGGCATCGTAAATTTAAATCTAAATCAGATTCTAAACAATCCATGATAATATCCATAGCTCGACTGATAGGTACATTAGTGAATAAGGAAGATACATCATTCATACCTACACACACACACACATACGATTTGTTTCCATGTAGTTGATTTCTCCACACGATTTCTAGTTAACTGACTCATTTTATCCTATTTTACAAAAAATCAACATCCAAATATGATTGGTTTAACACAATATAATCCTGATTGTTGAAAAGCTATATATTTCTTTGATAATTTTGATTTTGATTATCACCCTGAAGAAGTTCAGACAAGTTAGCTGGACGAAACGTCGGAATTAGTTAAATTTCAATCGCTGAGAATATTTCAAATATAATGACTTCTCTATACTCGGCGCTCAATTACTGTCAAACTATTCGTTCTAATCTTGACGAATATTCGTATGAACTGAACATATGTTTTTCATTCAGCTTTGTTGCTATTGAAGGCGCTTGCCAATATGCAAACACATTGTGTGAGGATGACCCACAGGTGACTTCGGGGAAGCTCTAAGAAGCTCAGAAAGAGCCGAAGATATTCCATCCAATCACCATTCGAAAAAACATTCCAGAATCACTACGTGTAGCTTACCTATTGACAAATGCTAAAAACCACTGTATGAGGATTGGATAACTATAATGATGATTTCGTTTATAATAAAAACTATAAATACCTGAGAGTTTTGTACTATATTCGACACTGTTTAGAATAGCGTCCCTTTAACTTGTCTTCTCTCCTCGCTACCGTTCGAGTGCTCAAGTTGTACGCGATATACCAAGAATCTAAGATCTAGATATAACAGCTGGCGATGGGGTCAACTTATCAACTGGTGATCAAATTTAGCACTTTTAAGTTGTGCTATAAAGCAATGATTCGATATTTAATTTTGTTAGTTATTGTCATGCAATATCATCAGTCAGTCAGTAACAACGTAGAAGTTCGTACGTACGTACATCAGTTCGAGTTGCCACACCACATCAGCACAGAGATGCAGTTGTCGATTCAAATCCCGTAGTGGTAGAGGTAATAAGAGTATAAGCAGTAATCGGAAAGATTAGGGTTTGAAGATGTTATTCAAGGAGTATAATACAGTGAAATAAATTTGGTTAGAGAAGAAAGAAAGGGACATGAAGAATTCAGAAGATTAAAATTTGGGAGAACACAAAGTGGATGCACCCGCGCACACCATTGCAAACGATTTTGAGCCATGTCATTCAGGGTCTCTAACCATCGGTTGCTATCATCTCGCGATCCCCAACCAGGTAGTCTACATCTACCAACATGACTCAGTCCATTTGTCAGTGACTTCATGGACTTGTGCCATGTTTTGGTCTAGCCGCCCCTAGCTTTCTTCCAACCTACTCCTATACCATCGCAATATCATCAATAAAGTTGCTATCCTACTATAGCATTACGGTCTTTACAAATATAAATTTATCTACTGTATATGAGTGGAGCAGTTAAAGCACCTAAATTGCAGACCATGAGCTCCAGGTTCGAACCTTGCTCGATCTACTTTGATTCGAGTAACTAAAGAATATCACCAGACATATACATACAAAGTGTGGCTTTGAAAATATATTTGATAAATAAATTACTGTATCGGAGCAATGCAGCATAGAATTAGCAAAAAGAGATTTGAATAGGTAACCTGCTAAACAAGCAACATCATAATATTCCATAAAATATACATTACAACATAATTCGGGAAGTGAACTAAGACCTACCTTTATTTTCGCTTACCTTTCTTTGCTTTCTTTACCAAACCTGCTGAACTGGAAGCAATTAAATTTCGTTCATTTTCTAAGCTTGGTTCTCTACTTTCAGTAGAATTACCTGATGATGCTCTTTGATGACTCGACTGTCTAGATTGATGATGATGATGATGACGTAGAGAAGAATTAACAGGGTAAACATTTTCACCAGGACTTGTTGTTGAACGACTACCAGTACCACTACTACCGCCGCTGCAAGAATTAACACTGGGAACAGTGTTGGAAACTATACCGGCATTTGTGTAGCGTAAATTTTGTATAGCAGTTTCTGGAGTGATCGGGGCACTTCCTGGAATAGTTGTGGGAGTTGAACGTTTACGTGTGGAAGATTTATGTGACTCACGTGGTTCGTCAACTGTGTTCACTGATGCCTGTTTCAAAGAAAATAAATACGCGTACTACATTGAAACATAAAGATGGGAAAAGTCAAAGAAAGATTATAGATGTTTTACTATCAGCCACTCAGTACAAGTAATTATAAAGACGTTCTTTATAAAAGGAAATAAGCCACCCTTATTTCACTTTTAGCAATTATACGAGTTATAAGATTAAAGCTGAAAATCTTTAAAAAGATATATCATGATTAGAATTTATCGCTGGCTTCTTACAAAACGTTTTATCTCAATTAGCTCTGTAACATGATGAACTAATACATGGTCAAAATAGATTGGTAAAATTTATACGTAAAATAACATGTCATGTAGTTTACCTGATATCACTCATGACAACTAATTAGCTTTTGTACAATAATAATTACTTTTAAAAATAAAATCAAATTCATTTTAGCTTAACTAAAAACATCTGGTACTGTTAGCACACAAACAAGTGAACGTTTATTCCAAGTGTGTGCAACCATGCAAGATAATGCAACAGAAACCAAATAAACTTAAAAATCAAAAGATGTAAGAATCGTTACGACTAAGATGTATATCAAATTAACTTCTGGATGTATAAGAAAGTGACAAATAAAGCTACGAAGTAATTCTTTCTATTGTTCGCATTAACATTTTTTCTAAACTGTTCAAATGAGGATTTTTCCGTCTAGTTCATACATACTACTTACATATTGAATTAAAAGTGAATATTAACCATTTTAATTTCAATAAAGAAGAATAATAAATGCCAGCAATTAAAGCATTAAAATTTAACACTGAGATGGACGGTGTAGTTGTCAAGGTACAATTTTGATTATGAACAATACAAACAGTCTATTTTAAACACAAATCAGTTTAAATAAAAACTTCCATGTGAGTTACATCAACTTATCACGGACAAGTACGGATACAAATTTTATCGGGAAAATATCAGGTATTTAAAAATGTTACAGATACCAGAGAAGCGTGATGATAATTTAATTACCAATCAATAGATGTATCGACATATATCCGATATACCAATGCGAACAAGGTCGATCAACCACCAGATTAAAGATTAACGTAAATGTACATTAAACAGTAAGAATTTTGAAGAAATACAATTACAAACTAAGCTAACAGAACAAAATAATTATACAAAAACAAACACTTCTTAACACAAACTTGATGATATTTGTGTTCCGTAGACCTGCGAAATCTTGAAATTGAGGTTCAGTACGAGCTTAGGGTAACTGCTAATAACGGGAACTGAGATTTTGTGATAAGAACCCAAGCATATAGAAACTCGGAAATACAAGGTGGGTATCACATAACAACGTTTCAAAGATAATAATTGACATCTTGATATGAGACTTTCAGGAACAGATGTTCAATCTGAAATGGAACTACTCAATGATCTTCGGATAAAACAAAATTAGCAAACCCAAAATGACAACAGTCAAGCAAATAATAACAAAGGTCACTGTGAGTATATGAATTAGGAAACTTTTATTGGGTTTATACTTCAAAGAACGCATGAACATATAATAGTAAAGAACTGCCTAATTTGAGTCCTCCTTATTAGAACCGATTCAGCTATTGATTCATGATCTTATGGAAAACCGAACGCACATGTGAAGCTCTATTCCAAATAGCTGAATAATAATTTACCCAACTCATGTGTCTGTATATAAATTAGGATACTGAGTCTGACAGTAGTGGAGGTGACCTACGCTGAATGAGCTACGAATAGTTGTCAATCTATACCATATGGCTTAGTTGACATCATGTAAGCCGTTCAGGTTCGCCCAACATGTAAGATCGGACTATTCAGTACCGCGTTACAAGTGTTCTAAGACATTAATATTTTTGGTATTACATTTTAATTATCATTAACCATAGAAAAGTATAAGCTAGTTGTTACATTACTTAAACACAAATAGTTTTATCAATTTTAAGCCAATACCGATATCACATTTTTTTTAATTAAAAAATGTTCTTTGGGTTGTCTCTCATTTTTCCTTAACATCAACATGAGATACAGTTAAGAATCAGTGAAATGAAAAGTGGAGAGAAAATGGTTTTAAAATGAACAAGTGAAACTATTTTTAGGTTTATTAATGAAAAAGAATTTAGCTTATTGTATGTCTAACTTATTGATAAAAGTATAACAATAATAACTATTATTAAAAGTGGCTGGTTGAAGAGTATCATTCACATAAATGGACAAGATTAGAGATAGTAGTACAGCTCGGTTATCATGTACAGGCTTATATTTCCGGAGGTTTAGTATCCTCTGAGTTGAAGGGTTTGATGAGGTTGTGAATCTTCATTGACAGAGATGGTTAGGCCACGTGTTATGTATGCCTGAACACCGATTACCACGACGTGTAATGCTAACCGGTGTTGGGGATGGTTGGAAGAAAGTTAGCGCCCGTCAAACGAAAACGTGCCATCAGTCCTTGAAGTCATTAACTTCTAGTTTCAGCCATGTTGGGAAATCCAGACTACTTGGTTGGGGTCCGCGTGACTATCGTAACCAATGGTTGGAGACTCTGGGTGACATGGCTCAGAATAGATCACAATGGCGTAAGTGTATACACACTTTGTCTTCCCTTAAACTATGAGATTAGAATTGTTGTATGTCTTTCTTTCTACGAACTAATTTTTTCTTTCTGTACTATATCCTTACATGAAATCTTTAGTTTATAAATTGTGCCATTGAGTTAACTGCTTCTATGAATCCGGTGTTCGTCTTGCTGTGCTATTGAGGTATGGCAGCTTGGACCGATGCATATATGTGCCTGGTCCTTGTAGCTGACTGACTGATTGAATGAATGCAGAGGTTCGGCATCGTGTGTTCGGGCACAGAGACGATAATCCAATTGGTGTCATTATCTTGAAACATGTACCTAGTCCTACGTTTTAACTGACTGACTGAAGGGTTTGATGGTAAAGCTTTATCGTCCTTTTAAACAACATCAGAACATCAAAAAGGAGCGATCTATTAGAGTTTCTCTATAGTCTCTTGTATTGAGTATCAGTGATCATTAGTTGTACCATTCAACTTTGAAACATCTACTCATTGTGATGCCTAGAAAGATAACTGAAGGTTTGTGACTAAACAATTCAACTAAGACAACACAAGACCTCCAAGATCCCAATTCTAATCTCTAAATGCATTCTATCATTGCATAGGTTTGTTTATTATGTTGTAAGTCACAGTTTTCTACTAATCACAAGATCCAATTAATCGTGAAGATTACACTGTTATGCAGACAATAAGTTGGGTTCAAAAAGATTAACCAGAACTAATTCAAGATATTTATCGTGGTCATTATCTAGTAGCATCACAATAAGTATTCATTTCGCTTTGAACTTGATTGACTATAACGGATGTTAGAGAGCGTTATAAGATAGATACACTGACACAAAAGACAAGTAAACAAGAAAATTGAATCATTTTCAGTTTTTTTAAAAAAAAAAGCAATTACTTTTCTGCATCACTGCTTCTGCAGAGACTGGAAGTCTCGATCATGCCAGTGATCAAACCAAAAATTTTAATTCATTATGTGGACGACATATTCGTCATCGTAAAAAAAGATGACCTGGAAAACACCTTCAATCGAATCAACGTCTTTGATGACATCATAATCTCAATATAATAGGAATCAAACAACAAACTACCATTTTGAATGTAATAATCACCAGAACTGACACAGGAAACCTGGAGAAAAGAGTATATCGGGAAATGAATCACACACAAAAAATTCTCAATTACAGTAGCAACAACGAAAGAGCTCACAAAACCAACTACGTACAAACTCTGTTCAGGAAGGCGAGGACAAATCGCAACACACTTGTAGTGCGGAAAAATGAAGAACAGCTGAAGACAATTTTTCACAAGAACGGCTAAACAATCAAGTTCAACAAAAAATATCAGAAGAAGCCAACTCCAGTTAAAAAACCAACAAACAGATCATTCTACGACATATAAAAGGCATTTCAGAAACTAAGACGAGATTGTTGAAGCCTTTTGGAATAGGTGTAGCACACAAACCAATCAAATTATTCCGATCAATCCTATGCAAACCAAATGACGAAATGAAAAAAAGAAGTAAAACCGAACATCATCTACAAAAAACAATTGTTCCGATTGAGAAAAACACTACATCGGGCAAAGCGGTCACCTTCTTCATCGTCGCCTGAATAAACATCAATTATTGTAAACTCATAATGTTGTCAATTTATTTGACCGAGAATAAGATGATAGCACTTCCTAACTACTTACAGACATTTTGAAGTTGGAATGATCAAGATAATGTAATCAATAAGTAAAAAAACTTTCAAAATGAACTTATTCACCATGTACTTCAGTGAGAGCTATACTTTAATTGTGAGAAGGGTTCGAACCCGGGTAATGTAATACTGGCAAAATTAGTAGATTGTTATTGATATCGAAGATAATGAACTTTTAATCACGATCTGACTCCAGCTAAACGAACATTGGAAACCAAGGACTGTTGAACAGCCAGTTCATTCTAATATAGGATAGCTCAGAAATGCATATCCAAGACCATATAGAGGATCGAATTCAGGACCTTCAGGTCTTACAGTGAGTGCATTGTCTTTGGACTAGTCAGAAGTCTTCGTTTTCTAACATCAGCCATTGTTCATTGAGTTGAATATTACCTGTCCCACTTTCTACATCACTAAACTTTATAGTCGATTTATTTAGGCAAAATTCATCTTTAAAATTGAGCTAATCTCCACAATATACGCAATCAAATGATGATATTTAGTAAATTTTTTGTTGAAACAACACAAATCATCAGTATTGTACGCATAATATTACGACAGTTTATTAAACTGTTTGAGTTTAAGAGCCGCCTTAAGTTTGAGCAACAAGTATATTAAAGTCATGAAGTAAGTGAATAAATTCCTCAACGCGAAATATTCAGCGTTTTCGTCAATTAATCTTGCAAGATCAAACCAAGATAATATTACAAAATAAATGTTTGAATTTTTAGTTCTATTCAATAAGTATAAGATAATAGACATAATACCATAAGGTAATTGTAAATACTAAAAAATCAAAAGCAACTAGCAACCGGAAGTCATTTTCTAACCTACCATGTTGATTCAACTCTCACCTAAAAAACATAGAGATGGATGTCCCTAGTGTATTGATTGAACAGACAAATCATATACACTGGTTTCTTTTACAAACTTAAGCAAAATGTCCGTATCAAGAATCACAAACCAACAACTATAAATCATGAATGAACATCAATCTATAACATCATCGTCCCAGAAAAAAGTTTCTTGAATTTTGTAAACTACTTTTTTCCGCTTATCATTTAAACTCTTTATCAGTATAACTAGGAGCAGTTGTCTAGTGGAATTGGATATTTTTTTTTAGTTCTGTCGCTGAATTGACTAAATTTTAATCTAGTCCCTCTAATTCATTTTCATTTTCCCTTACTAATGACGGTTAATGGCTAACAAAACTGATTGATATCCTTTTGTTCATAATGCATCCTATGCCAGAAAATTCAAAAAGCTCTCGCTTTCTTTATAGTTCTTCCTTGATAAAAATTTTATCTGTCAATCCTTGTAAAATATGATAAACCAATTATTTATTGATGTCATACATAAAATGATTGTTTCATATCTGGTGAAGTTCACCAGTCGTAGGTTAGTTAGATAATTGGAATTAAATGTGGCTTTCTCTATCCCTAAACCATAGTACTTCAAGTCCACGTACAGTTTGAAGTTCATAACTTAACATTCCATATGAAGATTGAACATTGATTCGTTTGGTAAGTTTATTTGTGATATAAGCGTATACGTTCTGTATATTGTCTTCAAAACACTATTTTCAAATATGTTTACCGATATATAAAAAGAACTTTCAAGAGGCCGAATAAAGCATACAAATGGTACTGTTCATTTGTTTAAACAGTTGAATAATGTGTAATTGATTAACCCTACTGGATTTTGAATACAAAATGAGGAAATTATCCCATATTTTTTGCATTATATTTCACAAAATTGCACATAGGTTGAGAAAAATTTTTCAATTGCTCACCTTGGATGTTGTCACACTTAAAATGCACCCATTAGGACTAGTCAAATTCGCGCTGGCTGCTTCCATTCTGCGTCGTTTCGATGCTGTTGGTAATAATTAAACGAGGTAAAAACAATAACAACTAAATAAAAACTAGACACGTAATCAGGATAAATGTATCAGTAAATATGTAATATTATTACCCACTTATTTACAAACAGATTTTTATCTGAGCCTCACTTCAATTACGTTTAAGTTTACTTGATATCACTCAGTTGCTTGACAGGATTAAATGGAGGGTAAAATCTGCGACATATTCACTAGAAGTTGAGTTATTCAGTCATTAGGTGCATAAGTATATATTAGGCAATAACATTTTCGCAGCTTGTCGTTAAAGCTTGTGAACGTACTATAGAATATGAGTAACATATGCTGGAAAGGAAACAAATGATGATATAGCGATATTGACAAGGTGAAAGTAGAAAGATGAGACAACTGAGTAATCCTTTGACTTTTTTCAAACAATTGAAACAAGAATTTATAAAAATAAACTATGTATTAAAATAGCAAGAAACGTTATTCATAACTTACAATGTGATTGTGGTCCCGGTACAGAAGCAACATCATCGTCTGGAGGTGGTAGAGATGACTCAAAACGTCTGTTAAAAAAATTTATTCGGTAAAATAAAACACAAATATACCAATTTACAATAAACTGATAAGCACCAATCAAATCCAACAAGATATTTGTCAACAAAGAGAGAAATTATATTTATCGATCTTTTCGTAGGTTTTAAATGAATCAATCAGAAACAAAAACATTTTATATGATCAGTTAAATCACTCAAACCATAATTAAATTTTATAACAGCTTTTCGATTTAAGCAACCAAAATAAATTCACTAACACACCTATACATATAAGGAGTGCGGCTGAAATTTTAAAGTTCCACAAACCTGTAGTAGTTGGTTACTTTCGAACTATACAACAGCATGAACTAATAAAAACATGTGTCAGATTCTAACCCGGTTATTTTAAAGTTGATAAAAGATGGTGTATAAAATCAATATGATAAAAGCACACTGATTATTTGAGTATTAGTTGCAAGAAATCAGTCGCTTGAATTGAACAAAGCAGAAAAAGAATAGTTAATAAACAATTCTAATAGTATTTCGATGCAAACATTTTATTGCAACAGATAAGTGAATATCTGATTTCATACAACAGCAACGGTTACTTTCTGAAGGTCTGAGGTCGCATGTAGATTGGATCCCGAAGTGTTAAAGTAACATTATAAATGAGTTACTTTAACGTAATTCTTAATGTATTGCAACTATATCTGTATTAACTGTACATTTCTTTGAAGAGCCAACAAAATTTCAATGATATTCATTACGAACTTATGGTTTTCCTTCAAAATATACAACCCAACTCTCCACTATATATTCACTTGTATTAATAAACAGCATTCGAAATGCAAATGTCGTTAAGAATTTATGATTACATACTTTAAGAGAAAAATCTATATGCTAGCTTTTCTTAAATACTAATTTTAACAAATAGTTATTTCTGTCTGAATACAAAACAAAAGTGGTCAATTATTTACTTACTGACTAGATCGTAATTTACTTTGGGTAGTTGTTGGAATGGAAGGTGAATTATTGCTCAAATTATTCGAACTACTAGAATTGCTCACAGCTGTTACCGAGGACAGTGACACAGACCCGGATAGTTGACCAGAAGGATTGCATTTCGAAGACTCTACGGCTGTTATAGACGCATTCACTGTTTGAGGTCGTGACCGTGTTTCCAGAACTATTTGCAAAAAAACACATCAAAACAATGATGGATGGTAATAAAATCATAATCTACGCATCAATGATTGATTTTAAATGCGTTTAACCGAACAAAACACGTATGCATTGCTTTCTGTGAAAAGAACCATTTATTTTAGTAATATTCCAGTTAGCTTTTGTTATAAACTTGTAAAAATTGCAGAACTATTGAAACCCAAGGAGCAATAGTTAACTATTTCAGGTTATTAAGTGGATCATCCGCAGTAAACAACTGACTCAAAAGAGACCGAACCCAAAACATTTAGTTCTTCTAGCATGAGTTACCTGTAGAGCAATAGGTTGGGACTCAATGATACATATTTCAATCTCCTCCATGTCCACATAAAAGAATGAAGTTGTCAGAAGACTGTTTCACTGCTCACATGGTTGTCAATCAATTAATGAGGAATTCATACCAAAACGTTGACAATCCATTTCGAAACTAGTCGCTCATGAGCACAAGACCAGTGTTTGCTTCAATTCTTGAGCAAGCTGTGAATATGCACTTCTGTGGAGTACAAAACTAAACAGCTATTCAATTTTCCTTGATATCCCCCAGTTTGATTTTATTTGTGCTGAAATCTCTACACTCCTTTAAGCCAAACATCCTATTTTAATTATACTTCTTTTCTTTTTCTTCAAAACAGTTGGTTCCCATGTTTTTAATTCTTACTTGTCTTTTCAAGAATAAGTTTTTCGGCATTGGAAAAATACAATTAATTACTTGTGAAAAGGCTTACATTAGAGTTAGTCAGTGTATATAAATAAGAAAAGAAGTAATAACAATAATGTTTATTTATAGAGTTGTTAAGTTAATATGCATGTGCTGAAAAAGAATATAAACAGAGTTGAGAGGAATAACATGACTATGCATGTATAAGACTTACCACTACCGCTTGGAGCAACAGTTGAGTTGGATGGGATTTTACTAGTTTGATTTGATGGTGGTGGTTGTGTTGAAGTACGTCGAACAGATACTGAAATATGAGGAGGTTCAAGTGTCGCAGAACTACTAGATGAATTAGTGATGCTAGTAACAAAAATTGTGTTGTTGCCTCCACTACCACTACTACTGGTATTAGTATTGGTGATACCACAACTAGTGTTGTTTATATTTGAAGGCGCATTCGAAAAACTGGTCAATTGATTTGAACCGGAATGTCCACGTGGATTATGACCGTAACTAGTTGAGTTGACAGTAGTTCCGGAACTATTGTCAGGATTTGATACAGTACGATTAGTGTTACCACCACTGTTGATGCTTTGATGATTACTTGAATAATTTGTATTCGTCTCTGAGCGAATTGGTTTAGTTTCTTTCAAATGAAATTCTTCCTCACTAACCCATTTAACTTTACGTGGACGCATTAGGCCAGCATAACTGAATGCTAAAGCCTACAAACAAACAAAAAATAAAAAGTACACTGAAATTTAAATACAACAAATGCACACTGATTGGAAATATTAGAAAACGAAATTTTCCAAACATATTTCTAGGAGCTTGGAAAATAACTCGTTATATATTTCTCTAATCTGATAGGTCGAATAATTAGTTTATTTAAGCATCTATTCTAGAAGCAAAGCGTCGCGAGATCAGTTCTAATTCCATAAATAATTTGATTTATGTATCTGATTCAGCCTTGAAAAGCAGAAGGACTTACTATTTTTGTCTACTATTCTTGGTCAAGTGTCAGGAATTGCTACAGTCCAGAAATCAGTTAGAAAATCATCATATTAAGCGTTTGTTTAGTGCATCAAAGTTATCAGGAGGGTTACGAATAAACTGAATAGTCTATATTGATATTATCGGTAATGAAGTAGTTTAAAATTTTAGTGAGGAAATGTGAACACAGTTAATATAAAGGTTATAATACTAGATTACGTAATATGAATAATAACAATAACAATAGATTTAGTGATTATAATAAGATGATTAAAATGTTTTTGATATAATAATTAAAGGTCATAGAGGTGTACAAAAATAAAAGATAAGCTTCCGCGTCTGGTCGCCTCCATGTGCATCTACCAGTTCACCTGCTCTTGTGGAGCAAGGTACATTGGCCGTAGCCAGTGCTCGCTTTCAACTCGGATACGAGAACATATCCCAGCCTGGTTCTATAAGGGTGAAAGGAAAGCAGTTAGGAGTTCTATACTTGAACACCTAATCGACTATAACCATTTAACAGATCCACAAATTGACTTTAAGGCTGTTTATATGATTCGTTCAAATCTACCCAGATTTCTTCGTATTCAACTTTTAAAGATAGCCGAAGCTCTTGCCACCCAAGAGCTTAAACCAGAACTATGCGTACAAAAGAAGTACGTCTTATCGTTATCGTTACCTTGGCCTTAATTAGTTTGATTATCCTACTATTAATGTTATTATTATTATTTCACAGATCGAAATCATGAGTCAGTTGAAGCTAGACCACCATTGAAAACCTGGAAGCAGTGGACGGCCGTTTCGTCCTAGTATGGAACTCCTCAGCAGTGCGCATTCACGATCCCGCACCACGCGGGGCTCGAACCCAGGACCTACTGGCTTCGCGCGCGAGCACTTAACCACTAGACCACTGAGCCGGCATCCAACGGTGTTAATGTCTAACTTCAACCAATCCACGAAGTTGCGCCACCGTACACCATTGTCTTCAGTGAGTTCCTATCTCACAACAGACCTGGTTGAACTCCACTGGTAACAGCTTCTCACTAGAACTTCGGGAGTTTTTCCTGAAGTCAGTCACTAGTGAGCAGTTGATTATTATCAGAATGGGTTTTGTGGAGATTTTACAGATCGAAATCATTCCCCCTTTACTTATGTCTTATATTCTCATTGTTTTATTCATGAACACTCATCATATCAGTTTATTTTTGTACACCTCTATGACCTTTAACTATTATATCAAAAACATTTTAATTATTTTAATCATCTTATTCTAATCACTAAATCTATTGTTACTGTTATTATTCATATTACGTAATCTAGTATTATAACCTTTATATTAACTGTGTTCACATTTCCTCACGGAATTAGTACTTTTACAAAAACAAAATTTTCATATATATACGATTGTACAGCTTGATAAAATTTTAGTGGCGTAGAGATGACATGATGCAGAACAAGATTAACCAGACCAATCATCAGATTTTTCATTACTCATAGCAAGGGAATACGATGGAAGCTCTTAAACTTGAAATAAGTAAAATCAATTTTGCGGGTGTGTATAAGTAAATTATAATAGAATGACAGTTACCTTATAATTACCCTCATGGCGATTCATATCATATTACATAATAATCAACTAACGCGAACATGATAACAAAACTTAAGGGTTGGATTAAACAGTATGGGAAGAAGGCATAATTCCATAACGATACTATATACATAGAGTTGACTGGTCAATATATGTTGATATATTTTTAATACTAAAAGTAAAAGCACACTAGTCAATTATGAGAAATGACTAAAACGGTACTTCCAATGTAAAAATCTGCACTTTTCCGTTACTTATTTTTGGACAAAACAATCCTGCTATTTCTTTTTATTGTGATAAATAAATCACGGAATAAAAAAATACGTATAATGTAACAAATACATCTCGATATATCTCTTTCACTTTCTATATTCCAGTTAACCAAGCAGGGGAGACAGAAAACTATAAATAAATAATTTAAATGAGAGCATTAATTTTACAGGTTGAATACAACAAGTGAACTTCTATCTTGTATGTGCTTTGATAAATTTAAAAAAACCGATCGAGAAATTTAGAAATTATCATTTAATGATTAATGAACATCTACATTTTAACAGTACATAGGAAATCACATCTATAATAACTTTATATGAGATGTTATGTAATGAGAATGAATCATAATCAGTCTAGACCCCATTGTACGTGTGCATTAGCTTAAAATAGCATAACAGATATGCAAAATGAGATGAAATTAACCAGATGAATTCATTTATGTCAGAAACACAGAAAATATACGACTAATAATAGGAATAAATCTAATCAACACCACAATGTTTGGCAACAAAAAAGGAATTTCAGTAGGAAATTCCACTTTAAAATAATGCTCGTTTGTGAATATTCAAACAAAACATATCAAAGTCCAGCAGTGGTTTTCGTACCATCTTCAACTGCAAAGGTTTTTCGAGGTGACATAAAAAATAAATACATTTATATCAGTGTGACTGACTGTGAATACTGTTACCCAACATCACAGATTGATCACAATTATGATATGGACTCTAAACAAGTAAACTAAATTGACTAACACAGTTTATATCAACAGCCAGTAAACCCATGGATTGACTTCATATCTCGGTTTGACCAGCCTATTCAATTCAAGTAAAATTGCGCATTGAAGTATGAGATGGTTATGGTTTAATTTTTACTAGATCAAAAAGCAATATTTAACTGTTCAAACTAAAATTAGATGAAGCGGAAGTTAAAATCAAAAGAGAAACACTAATAAACAAACCTTTAAATCAGGACGTCGATCTTTCTCTTCATCTTTTAGTTTATTTACACGTCGTTCAACAGCACTTCCGAACTGTGTGATTTTCGGATATTGAGGTAGAATTCGTGTTAATACAATTAATGCGTTGCGAATTTGAACATAATTACCAGATTCTAGACAAGCAACAATTGCTTTTGTAATACGATAATGCCATTTATGTACAACATGACGATAATTCTCATACTGCAATTGGTCTGGTTTAGTATTCGCATCTAAACCTTGATATGTCTTGAAATAAAACAAACCGAAATAATAAGAAATAGATTGTGGCTCATACTTCATTTGACTCTATGTTAACATGGATAAAACAGTGAATTAGTAATAACTGAATGTCGACTGTCGAAAAAAAGATATACCATCCTTACCTGTGTATAAAAAAGCATGGATTGGGAAGTAGACATCAACCATATAAACATACTCAAACAGATATGAATACGGATTCAGTGTAAAAACAGTGAATCTATAAAAAGAAATACTGAATAATTCCCAGAAGAATACGGTATTCACATAGACCAGTTGTCAATGAGGATATCAATATGCAGTGAACGTTCAACTTCATATGATAATCAAGGCGATTAGAAGAACACATGAGAGATAACGAGACTATTGAAGTTTTTTGGAATAGGTGTAGCACACAAACCAATCAAATTATTCCGATCAATCCTATGCAAACCAAATGACGAAATGAAAAAAGAAGTAAAACCGAACATCATCTACAAAAAAGAATTGTTCCGATTGAGAAAAACACTACATCGGACAAAGCGGTCACCTTCTTCATCGTCGCCTGAATAAACATCAATCAGCGGTCAAAAGCCATGACATGTCCTAACTTATATCAATGCATGTGGACATATATTCGACTGAGAAAATGTTGGAATCTAGGATAGAGGCTATTATGAAAACACCAGTAAATTTTAAGGAGCTCGGTACTCAAGTCAACCAGCAATCAACAAGCATATTGAAATCTATCTAACTTATCAACCAGTCAGAAAAATTATGATCGATTAAATCTATTAACCAATAAGACGGATATAGGACCAGAAATCAAATCAAAGGGAAATACAATCAAAATGATGTAGACAATGACAGGTTAAAGGTCAATACTGACCAATCAACATCGAGGACTATAGGACAAGCTGTGAGTCATATGTGGAGAAATTCGAACACTTTGCTCTACCTGAAGTTTGTGCTGATGATGTCGTCCAGAATAACAATGAAAGCTCCACGACCAAACCGTTCAGCTCAGAGAACAAAAATCCACATTGATCATCTACCTGAGGTACGAATTTCCACTGTCTTAGAATGAACAAAGGGTATCAAAATCTTATGATATCAGATCATGATATAAATTGTCCATAAAACATCTATATGAAAATCTTCACAAAAAGTAATTAATTGAGAATCAGAGTATATTTGATTTATACAATATTAATAAATGGCATAGACTGAAAGAACGCTACCCAAATCACACTAAGATCAAGTATGTAAAATATGAGTCAACTCTAGATGTTTACTGTTGTCATAAAACTTCTTTTACCTGGAAGATCACAATAGGTTGTCATTGGTGAGTCAATTTATACGTTTATTCATGGTTTAAATGACAACTCGTGATAAAAATGATCTTTAAATTACGAAAGTCCCCCACAAACGAAGAAGAATTAGTCATGTGTCCTGTTTTGATTAGACGGAAATTCATGACCAATTAAAATCACCTAATAGTGAATAAGATTAGATAATGGTTGTGCAACATCAAAAATTGACTGGATCTAGAAGTGGTTTTCACGGAATTCTGATACAATAACTGTTATGACTGGTCGGCAATTGTTATGTCAGAGTCGCTTATTATTTATAATTGAGAAACGAGGAACCACAACAATTCTGACGACGCGAAGCAAGAACAACCAGAATTGTACAAGTGAAAATGTATTCACTCTAAAACATGATGACGACCCTAGTCGAAAATACACTCATTATTATATATTGGTTTGTACACCTATTTTGATTATTAATTAGAATAAAATCATATATATCAAAAATACCAAGGGATATAACAAACTACATGCTGAGTATAGTTCATGTTAATTGAATACAAGGATAATGTGTCTTAAAGAAACATTACACTCAATTAAATTAATGTCATATCGAATAAAATATCACACTGAAAAACAAAACAAATATTACACTGAATAATCATCGAAATGAATTTTTAAAAAAAACGCCAGTATTGTTGTAAAAAAAACACAATGAGTAAACAAAATGTCATTTTGCTTTTTAATTTCGTCGTTAAGTAAAAAATTTTAAAGTCCATCTGATTATCATTTTAAACTTTTGTATGCCTTCCTGAGGTGAGAAAAGCAACGGAACTACAGCAAACTCATGCTTTTTGGTTACATCAATGATCTAAGGCATGATAAGGATCACCTTTAAATTCGAAAAGGTCTCTACAGAGCTACCTTATATATAGGTTTGTATATTTTTCCCGTGGTTGACATTACGAGGACAGCGACTGATAAAACTGCACTAATATATGCTCAGTTTTGTTACATAGGTACAAACGCGCGTCCTGGATTCCAATGCCAGCCACGGTACATATTTACTAGAATCATCTTAGTTTTACAAAATAGTTGAAAATGTTGTAAAACAAAGTAATTACCACTGACAACGAATTAAATTCGTTTCATGAATATTCTACTTCTTTTCTTTTCAGAAGGAACAATGACAAACATAGGAAAAATATTCTTGCGGGTAAAATAATATTTTTAGGTCAAAACTAACCTTTCTGAAGACAGTAACAAAACCAGGATATTGACCACATTCTTGATTGAACACTTCTTCACTGGCATGCCAACGCATCACAAGTTCTAAGACTGCACATAAAAATCGACCGTAACGATGCGCTTCATTTTCTGTACACATACTGGTTGGCAACGTTATATCATTAAAAATCTGATGGGATGGGAAAATATATAAGAGAATGGGAATCATGTATCTTTTTGAGATGACATTACTAAAATAAAGCTTATAAAAATAATGCCATCATGGGAAAATATTGTCTTATAAGATGAAATCGTATAAGAATCACAGTGATAGGTTCTTAATGATTTTTTTGCTCTTATAAGGTCATCAAACGATATTTAACAACGAAACAGGCCAAAACCTCTCCTCGATCACCGAATATTTTTCATAATTGTTATTTGAAGAAAGAGTATATATATGCGAAATTCATAAAAATCCTCTATCTGCGAGAATTAATAAAAATAAGACACCGAGAAAACGATAAAGATTGTCATATATTTGACAAAAATGGAAACAAAAACAGGCTGATTATATTTAAAAGTATTAAATTAATATAAACAAATAAATGAACTTCAAGATCAAGCTACTAAATTGATCGACTGCATAGTATCTATATCCAAAAGAAGTGACAATTCTACTTCACAATCATCCTTTCATCATAGCCGGAATACTCAAAATATAGACTCTGTGAATTAATATCTATTAAGTTAACACCTTCAATAGGGTTTGTTACACTAAATACACAATTAAGTAAATCTCTTACTGAATTTTTATAAGCTATCATGTTTACTAAAATAGGGGACAATTAAGGTTGGTTGAGAGCTCTATACTAACCGAATTAACAAAAGAATATCAAATGAACCTAAAGAAAGCATTTCAATTCATCCACTAAAATTATCGTATGATATATGTATACTTCATTTTGTATACAGTCAAAGGTAACAAAATCCATTTTACCAACTTGCGAAATATCCATTCATGAAAACTTTGTATAATCATTCTTCTTGCTTTAGCCATCAAAATAGCACAGGACACTAAGATGTTAATATTCCCGTCGTCTTTCTGTTCCTTTACATGACTGTAACGTGTCTTTGATATTTCTTAGGTAATCAATATTATTATTATAAAACTTTCCATCAAAATTGTCATTTTTCTTAATAAAAATAGAAACATTTCATATAATGACAGGTTGAACACCTATTCCTATATGTTGAAATATTCGTCAATATATGAGAGAATAGTTTGACAGAAATTGGGCTCCGAATATAAAGAAGACATTGTCTGTGAAAATTATATTTGAAGTAATTTCAGGGAATAAAATTTAAATAATCCCAACTTTTCGTTCAACAAACTTATTCGAACTTGTTAAGGGTAACATTTAAACTTGAAATTATCATTACAGAGTTATGGAGATTTTTGAGTTATTATCAAAGAACATATAATATTTGAACGCTTATTCAATCATATTTTCAAATTACTTTAGAGCAGAGAGAAAATGTGTAATGCATGAAAGAAATCGGTAAGAATTCTTGGTTTAAGCTTAGTTTACACTCATTACAAAAGCGTATCTGTGCCCAATAGAATTGAGACCGTTTTTATGGATATGGAAAGATGGACTTAGTGATGAATCCCTTTACATTTAAATCAATAAATTCCAGAACGAAATTTCTGTTTTCTTCATGAACATTTCAAACAGTTAATATTTCCCACCATCCTCGTTTAAGGTTTTCTAACAGTCTACTTGCTGCAACTGATTTTTTTTTACATCCATCGTATATAAGATGCGTGAATTATAGTATATTCGTTTCTCATTATTTCCAAAGAATAAACGGCGAGGAAAATATGCCTATAGCTACAACATTTTCACTTCAGTTTTTCGGCAATAACTTGTACGCTTTTGATGGTAGTGTCTGTGTGTACATGCAGTGAAGATGTCCAAACAAATCTATTAAAAGTTTAGCTTTGATATTGACTCAGGTGAAAAACAGGTAGCCTAACCGTTTGAGCAGGATATTGATACTTCACCCGACTTATCAAAGAGTATTGACTGATTTCAACAAGATTTCGTGGATGATTTTATTCAGAAACAACTTAAAAATACACGTAGCAGGTTTAAAAAGAGACGAAAATCTAACCTATAATATATTTTTACAAAAATACTTACTCGATCCAAACAAATCAGCGTAGAGAATCGTGCAGTCTTTAATTGATGCAGAACATGCATAAATTGTGCCGCATAGATAGCATCAGTTGCGGTGAAACACACTCTAGGATATATACATAATTGTAAGAATTGTGTAATAGTATCAGTTTTTGTAGCTAATCGTGTTTGAAACCAATTATCACGTTCAGTCATAAGCCAAGCACGTACACGTGTTACATGTTCTTCCCGTTCAGCTTGTTCATTGGTTAGACGTTCAATTAAATTTTCTAAACGTTCTATCTCACGTTTCTTTTTTGTTGAATTCTAAATTTACGTGAGTATTTGATATAGATAGAGAGAGGAGATTTGAAAAAAGGATCCTGTTACTAAATAGATGAGTACTAAGCAAAATGCTAAAGTCGAAGTTAAGATTTTTACAGAAAATAAATTTCTGAGATGTTACGATGATGATGAAGTCATGCATAGTTAAAGTGACAGTAAAAGCATATACTAATTAGTATTACCACGTTGCTAGAATAGACTAAACAAACACATACTTATACATTCAACATTTAAAAAGGGGAAAGATTCATTATATTGCTTTTTGACTAACATACAAAAACACTATATGTTTGGACTGTACCCATCAATGGGATAATTATCAGCAGCATTGAAAGGTTTCTCTCACTAATCATTGATCCAGATAAAAATACAGAGAAATATATGCATATTCGTTTATTCGAAAAATACTTTGATTGTCCAGAAGACCTACTTATTTACAACCACTTTATGAATACATTGAGGTAATGCTTTAATAATTTTTTAGTAGTAATTAGTAATAGTAGTAATAGTGGTGGTAGTAGTAATAATAATAATTTTTAATGGATATTGACAGTTGGAAACAGTTACTGTCTTTGTTGTTCGAAAGGTATTGTGCTAACATCGATATTGTTACATAATAATATTTCCTTTTTATCATATCAAACAAATAACTTGTTAAGATAAATATTGCACCGAATGCTTTGTATTAAGAATAAATAAATTTCCCATCAACCACTACAATATATATATCAAGTACAAGTTTTCTAACTCGACAGTGAATTACATTTGGTGTTAATGCTAATTTGGTTATTAAATTTGAACAAGTAAAAATAAAGAAATTCTAATTTTAATACGCCATTAGGAAATTGAAATAGATCGATTCCTAATGTTTCCTGAGAAATATCAAGAAAACAATAAGTTTCTTGTTTAATCATATTGAATTTTAAAACACATCAAAATTAAGAGACCTTCAGTGATAATTTGGGACCATTATGTCACAAGCGGCAAACTATCAGTTATGGCGTTCAGCTTTGAAGGTCCAAACCCCAGTCCGCTACCACAGTTTCGAAAGCTGCATAGTATAATCAGCTCTCACATACACAAGAAAACAAGTAGCCGAAATTGAGTACACAACTTTGTACCTAATAAATAAGTAAAGTTAGCAACATAATTTGAACCAAAGAGATTGTAATTATAAGCGTCCCATGTCGCAGAAATTCCCTATCTCACCACATAAAACCTCCGGTAAGAAGAGAAGATAAAGATGTAGGCACAAGATCTTTGCCGACCTTGTTGATACAGAGTATATAGTTTTTCACTCATCTTTTTGAAAGGACAGAAAATTCGGTAAATAATAACGAAAACAAAACATAATTTAAATGAAATCTGACAAAGTGAATGCTCATTAGTGAAGTTGCACAGAGTGACCTGTTGGAAAGTATCATTGAAGAGCAGAGTACTGGAAACTTTGGTGCTTATCATGCTCACGGGTAAAATGACGAATTTCGGTGATAAACTGTGGAAAGTGTATCATAACATGTCGGTAGTAGAAGAGTCTTTACCCATGACATTAGACGGTCGTCAAGTTTATCATGAGATAAGTTGGAAGTGTACGAGATTGATTGTTAATCCAGGTGTCTAGTGATTAGGCACTTGCTGTGAGATATGAAGGTACTGGGTATGAACTCTAAAAGAGGGTTAAACGGGTACTTAAGATAAAAGCCATGATGTGATGTCCCACCACTCCAACTTTTTCAACAGTACTCCGTTTGAGTCTAATTTGTGACGAATATCAGCTTCCAAACACAAAAATCTACATCTAAATGAACATTTATTCACAGAGAGAGAAAGAAAAACAAGAAAATATACACAACTAAGGTTTACATCATCAATGCATTTACCCATCCACTAGCCGGCGTATCAATTTGTTGAATCTGCTCTTTTAATTGTTGTATTTGTCGTTGATAGGCGGATTCGGGGACAACTAAATCACTTGACTGTAAGCTCCAAAATGTGATAAAGAACACAATGCCTAATTCATCCCATACACGAGCTGGATATAATGGACGTATAGCTGCAGCTATTTCATTGCACACATGTAAAGAAGCAGCTGAGAAAATTGTCTACAATTTTACGAAGTTAATAATAATAATAATGAAAAAGAACGATTAGCAATATTAAATGATATAAAAAATAGATGAATAAACACACTTGATAAACGTTAACATTTAAATTGATCAAGTGAGTTAAAAAAACCTTTGGACTAGTAGATTCTGAAAGACATTATTATACACAATATGATTTCTTTAGATAGCATACATCATGGGTAATTAAACAACTGAATGACGTCAAGCTTCAGTAGATTAGACATCAGAATTTAAATAATAAAAAAGGAATCCTAACATAGAAACTGTGAAGTATGTTAACGGTCAGCTATAGTTTCTCGAAAAAATCTTTAAAAATCCGAGTCACCAAAACATAACTGGAAATATTATGGAAATTCTAAGAGAAATTTACAGAGCAACTGTATTTTCAAAACTGATTAGAGAGTGATCAGTTTTATTATCAAATTTACCTTTTTATGGAAGCTTCCGTATTCGCAGCATCAAAAGTGTAATCATATCCGTTACCCTCGTTTTCTGTATATAAGCTAACCTCATAAAACTTTTATTTTATCAGTAGTGTGCCAGTATATTGAAGCGATAACCTTCCAACCATAAAGTTGCAGGTTTGATATATTACTCCACCTCACTCGAGCTGGATTGCTGAGTAAAATCATTAGTCCTTATACAAAACAGAGTGTGCCTGAAACGCTTGTGCATGAGTCTTTAATTATTTATTATCCTGATAAAAATTAATTAACATTGCCTGATGTTTGATAAGGTCGAGTATGAGTATGATTGAGTACTACTCGATATTCATTTCGGGAGCTTTTGATGCATCCATCATTCAGCAAGTGACTCAACTTGTTCGTCTTAGGGTGCCTTTATAAGATTTATTCAAGGTCTTGAAACAGGACTTAGAATTATAATATCGTACGAATATGCTGCTATACATGATTAAGAATAAGCTACAAAGACTTTAAAAGCTTCAAACAATAAAATTATTACTTTTATGATTCAAGGATTTTGAAATAAATGGTTGGAAATTGTACAACGCTTCAATGACCAGTAACTAACTACCAAATATAAGCTGGGCTAGTTCAAGACAAATAATAGGTGTTAATTATCATAAAGCACAGAAAGATTATACTTGCTAAATCTAATCATAAAATGCTTCATAAATTTTGATAGAAATTTGTTCATCCAATGACTAACAACAGGCAAATTTGGATTATACGATCTTCGGTTAAACTATGTGCAAGTAACAAAATTAACAATACTCCATCCAGGAGAAAGAAGGAGAGGAAAGGAGAAAAAAGAAGCTACTCTAACTTAACGTATTGAACAAAAAACTGATCACTGACCTTGCTGAATGACTTTGATTTTTCACCAGATTTCATTGTTTCTGCTTGTTCTTTGCTTTCAAATAAACGCTGAAAATAATTTATGGCAAATGCATTTTACCTATTCAGTTAAATGACTGGATATATCATTTTATCAATTAAAGATAATATTCAAACTAGTAAGTTATCTAACAAAGATTCACTGAAGTTAGGAATGCAAACTTCGTAGGTGCGTTGCATTAGCGTTGTAATCAGCTATATATATATATATATATATATATATATATATATATATAATACACCAGATGCTATTGTAATGCATTATATCCAAGACTTCCTCATCTATAGCCATTTATCATATATTTCTACATGTACAGAGGTTCATCCTGGTTATTTTAAAGATCCTAGAATCAGTAAATAATAATAATGTTCGTTTTTTTAAAGTAGAACAGACTGATAAATAAGTACTTTGCAACAATCATTATCGATATATAGAACATCTACCAATTTTTCGCCTGAGGATGAATTCCAGAGGAATATTTCATTAATCGCATATGAATAACATTCTAAAATCTGGTTCGTTCTGTTTTAAAGACAAGAAAGTGAAATATTTCGGTAGTTGTAAAAAACAAATCACTTATTATATACCATTCTGACATCAGTACACCGATTGGCGATATGGTTTGCTTCAGATTAATTAGCAAGGAATATTGTCAATTCGAAGAAAATTTAGACCATAAAATCAACAAATTTGTGTATAAATGATAGAAGCGAATTTTGAAACTCAAGACATTTGCTGCGCTTCATACACAAGTCCATCAGTTGAAAAAAGAATTGTAAAGAATAATTTCAAATTCGTCAGAATGCTACAAAATTACACTGCATGTAGTGCATGTGACATATGAGAGTGGTTTGCAAAATGCGAATTTACTGAAAAAGACCAGACTGTATATTCATGTAATAACTTTTTAACATAATCGCCAGCAAGTAATGAAAATTAACAGTGTCTTGGTGGAAACATGACTTATTTATCAACCAGGAAGCTGTGGATTAAAAATATAATTTATTTACTACGATTTCGGCAGTCGAACAGTATCATTAGTTCATCCACAAACTGTGTGCTGCAAAGTCTAATACAAAAACATGTACCCTGGGAGTGATATATATAACAAAAGTAATATCGAACGCTATGATAATATTAACCAGAAAATTGATTTCTAGAACTCAAAACCTAATCAATTAAACTTTTGTACAACGAGAAAATTGGGACGACAACAACAACGAATACAATTGAAATAAAAAAACCTACAGCAACTTTTTGTTCAAACAGATTACGATGAAAACAAAAGGCAGTATCAGCTGGAACATGAAATTCACCCATCATTCTGTCAATATTTAAACACTGAGTTTGCATTTCATCACGAGTTAATTGAAGACTAAGAAATGTTATGAATTGTACAAGAGTACCTTGACACTAAAGCAGAAATAATGAAAACAAGAGAGATAATAATTTTAAAAAATGGTTAATTATATTACAGCAACCATAGAAATTGAATATTCAAGAGTAGTACAGAAAGGTTTCGTAACAACATTAGTAGACCATAATTCTGGCACTCAGTGATTAGAGCAGAGATCAGGTGTCTGGGACCATCAGCTGACTAGCTGCCCCCTGAATGCCCTGGTACGGCCGAGAGTGGGGAGAGTCCGCTCTCCCTCTCGAAATACTCTCACACGGCCACGCGTATACAGCCTCTGCCAGGGAAGTCCTACTCATTGCCTTCTCGTGGCGGGGGTGTTGTTTACGAAAATGAGAGGACGAAAAGCGAATGTCCGGCGCTTTAACCGGATTCCAAATCAATGGTGCACATGGGCTCCAGTATCCTGCGGTAACGAATGGCGTATGAACCAATTTTCAGCCACCGGCTGCTATAGTAGTGCATCTCCTCACGATGCTACACTGCCTTGTGGGTTAGACCTTTAGGTCAAAGGCTCGGGGAGTGGCCCCCTAAGATAACCACCTGCTTCGGTTTGAGCACCCGGGCAGTATCACAGCCCACACACAAATGATGAACTCTATGTCCATGGAAATTAATTTTGTCGCTTTGAAAAACAATCAATTGATTCAAATTATGATCACTACAATTATTGTCATTATTAATACTAATATTATTATTACTACTATTGTTGTCATTATTGTTATTATTATCATTATTATTATTATTTTCCACATTATTCACCTTCTTTTATACTTATACAGCGGCTCGTCTTTGGTGGAATTCCGACTGTATCTAAACGTTCTCGAATCACTGTCCGGTTGAAAATTGTATGTTACCACCGAACACGAGGACTGAAGCAAATTTTCTGAAACCACGTGCACCATTCAAACTGGCTGCTTTCAACGTTCGCACATTTATGCAGGTCGGACAACAGATAGGGCTGGCTATGTCTTTGGAAAGTCTTAATATCGACGTGTGTTGTCTATCCGAGACCCGTATTCAAGACTCTGGCGAAGTACTACAAATTCGATCTCCATCTGTCGCTTCGAAAAGCTTGTTTTACGTGCGCTTATCCGGGGACCCTATGGCATCTTCGTCTGGTCTCGCTGGCGTTGGTGTCGCACTAAGCGCTAGAGCTGAGGCACCACTAGTCGATTGGATCCCCATTAACAGTCGGTTATGTGCTGTTAGATTAGAAAGTTCCATCAAAGTGAGAAGAAATCGGCGGGAGAAACGATGTCTTTTCGTCATCTCCGCCTATGCCCCGACAGATTGCAGCCCGGATGCAATCAAGGATGAGTTTTACCACCAGTTATCAGTTCTTCTCCAGAAAGTGCGTTCGACAGATATTGTAGTACTAGCCGGAGACTTGAATGCTCAGGTCGGGCGTCTAGGCACAGAAGAGAGTCGTTTAGGTGGCCGATGGGGACTCGTTGGTCGCAGGTCAGATAACGGGGACCGTCTACTGCAACTTTGCACAGACCACAACCTGTTTCTGGCTAGCACAAACTTTCGGCACAGTCATCGCCGATGTGCCACCTGGCGTCCTCCCTCTGCATCTCAAGCCTGGACTCAGATTGATCACATCGCGATCAGCTACCGCTGGCGTGGTTGTGTACAAGACTGCCGCTCCTTTTGGAGTACCTATCTGGACTCTGACCATGCCTTGGTCTGCGCCAATCTTGCCTTACTTTTCAGTGGACAACGAAGTGAACGCCATCAACGGATTGATGTTAGCAAGCTGGTTGCAACTTCTGTTGCAAGTAAGTATCGAACCGAGCTAGCCTCTAGGCTAGCTACCACTCCACCGAAAAGTATAGATGAGCATTGGTTGCAATTGCATGACGCCATGAAAATGGCGGGAACAGTCAGTTGTGGGTTTGCGAAACGTCCCGCTTTTAAGCACTGGGTTTCTGCAGGTTCCTTACAACTCATTGAAGCACGTCGGTCTACTCCGGGTAACCGTGAGTTTGACCATAAACGAAGGATTTTACGTGAGGAAATCGGGCAAAGCTTGCGTAAGGACCGAGAAGCCTGGTGGTCGATGCGTGCTAATGAGCTGGAAGCAGCAGCTGCATCTGGTAACTACCGGAAGCTCTTCCAACTCATCCGAGGCACTGGCAGCAAGAAGTCTGGTGTGAGTGAAACAATCTGCGAGGATGATGGGATGCCAATCACTAACATCCATCGACGTCTTGGACGATGGGCAGAATTTTTCGAAGGGCAGTTCAACTGGCCTGCTGCTCCGGCAACATCGGTCAGACTGTCCTGCCCTCCATGGCCGGTGACGACTGATCCACCAAATGAGGAGGAAGTCCGCAAGGAACTCCAACTCTTGAAGCGTTACAAATCACCTGGCCCAGATGACTTACTTCCGGCTCTTTTTAAAGATGGTGGTGACTTTTTGACTAAGGAATTGACGACGTTGTTTACAAAGGTTTGGGAACTAGAGAGTGTACCAACATCATGGAATGAGTCGATAGTTGTCCCTATCTTTAAAAAGGGTTCACGTCGTTCCTGTAACAACTATCGGGAGATAAGTCTACTTCCGATTGCGTCCAAGCTATTGGCTTCCGTCATACTTCGTAGGTTGTTCAAAACCCGGGGAAGATTGACTCGCGAGGAGCAGGCTGGGTTTCGTTCTGGTCGAGGATGTATTGATCATATCTTCACCCTCCGCCAAATGTTAGAACACCGCCATACTTTTCAAAGGCCAACAATCGTAGTGTTTCTTGACATCAGGGCTGCGTTCGATTCGTTGGATAGGACTGTTCTCTGGGATTGTCTATTGAAGAAGGGTGTGCCTGAGAAGTTTATTAACATCCTAAAAGCCCTGTATAAAAACACCTCAGGCAGAGTGAGGGCATACAACCACCTCTCTCCATTGTTCCATTCGAGCAGTGGGGTTAGGCAGGGTTGCCCAATCTCACCATTCCTCTTCAACTTTGCCATCGATGACATTCTGGAAACAGCTCTGATGGATGTAAGTAATGGTGGTGTGGATCTGTTGCCTGGAGAAAGACTTCTCGACCTTGAGTATGCGGACGATATTGTCTTACTGTGCGATAATGCCCAAGGCATGCAATCCGCACTTAATCAGTTGGCAATCTTTGTCCGTAGGTACGGTATGTGCTTTGCACCTTCGAAGTGCAAAGTACTTCTACAAGACTGGCAGGATTCTAATCCTGTACTCACCCTGGACGGTGTGCAGATAGACGTAGTTGAGAAGTTCGTGTATCTGGGTAGCTGCATAAGTGCTGGTGGGGGTGTGAGTGATGAGATCAATGCACGAATAGTGAAAGCCAGAGCGGCTTATGCCAATCTGGGCCACCAATGGCGCCTTCGTGATGTTAGTCTGGCTGTAAAAGGCCGGATCTACAACGCGTCGGTGAGAGCAGTTTTGCTCTATGCTTGTGAAACCTGGCCTCTCCGAGTTGAGGACGTTAGACGACTCTCTGTGTTTGATCATCGCTGTCTCCGAAGGATTGCTGACATTCAGTGGCAACATCATGTTAGTAATGCAGAGGTTCGGCATCGTGTGTTCGGGCACAGAGATGATAACTCAATTGGTGTCACCATCTTGAAACACCGACTTCGGTGGCTTGGACATGGTTTTACGAATGTCGTCCCAGAGAATTACACGTCGTGCATTATTTGCCGACTCTGGGACTGGTTGGAAGAAGCGGAGAGGTGGTCAGTGCATGACATGGTGTCGTGGCATGAAAGAAAGCTGCAAAGGACTGGCTTGTGTTGGTCCTTCACGACTCCCTGGCTGGGGTCCGAGAGATGGTGCTACACAGTGGCTAGAGACGTTATCAGATATGGCTCAGAATAGAAGCCAGTGGCGATCCTGCTGTAACCTTCTTTTACTTTCTTCATAAAAAGTGGTTGTGTCTCCTTTACCTGAAAGATTTCTTCTGATTGTACTTCTTCGTCATTACTCTCTCTTTCTTTTGCGTTCCTTAGTTTTTTTTTTCTTTCTACTTCTCTTCGAATTCCCATTGTTTTGTGTGGCGCATATATATTGGCGCTCTCTTGTACCAATATTTATGTGTTCAAATAAATAAATAAATAAATAAGCTGACTAGCTTTATTCAGAATTGCTACAAAACATTACCGCACCCCATACTATGTAGAAAAAGGCAATCATCTTAAGTTTTTCAACCTTGAAGGTTAGTAACTTTAGAGTGTGCTCAGTAGAATAACATAGCTGAACTTGAAGACGATGGTAATTTTGAGAAGAGCTATATTGGAATCGATTGGTTCGGTATTGCTTTTAATAGAGGAGCATTGACCTTTCTGTAGAGTACGAAAAGGTGTGGAACTTTATGAAATTCAACTAACCTGATCATATAAACGCCCAGCTAATTTACAGTGACGTTCTGGATCATCTAGAAATATGATAGCATCACGCTGTTGAGCCATTAAAAAAATAAATGGCATGATCAAATTATGTTCAACCAAGGCATCTTTAAGACGTCCAGCATTACGACGTGTGTTACGTATCTGTGCATAATAACCACCTTCTTGCAATAGTAATTCACCACCTGACATGGATTCTAATTGTTCTTCCGTCATTTCTTCCGAGATATCGATACCAGACATACGATGGAGAATTTCACGTAATATTGCCAAATCATAACTATAATTATGTTTTATTTGAAATGGTGAGAGGAATAAACAAAAAACAAAGTAATTTTATACTTAAAGTGTACATAGATAAATAACTATCATTTATCTGTAACATATTACTTACAAACGTTAACTGTAGCCACTATTTATTAAAATGTGCACGAAAGATAACTGCATAAAATTTTGCAGAATACGACAATTTCTCTCAAAATACATACAACAGTAGCTCAGAGTTTGTAGTCTTTTGTCCTGTTATAACTTGTGACCTTGCACCCTACTAATATTTAACGAGGTGATACCGCCAATTAGAGAACAGTGACTTATCGACCGAACCAACAATGCATAGAACCGTACGAGCAGTCTGGAGTCCTCATAGATTCTTTTTCCTGCCTAGCCCTGTCTATTGAGTCCAGAACACCAATCTCAGCCTCTGCGATACGAATCACTTATTTCAAATATACTACATTTATATACAAGCCAAACAGACCAAATCACACCATAAAATGGGAAATAACATTTGTACAAGATCTAGCCCAAAGTTGCTGTGATTGTGGTAGACTAATTAATAAACTGGGGATAACTTAAGAATGGTAAATCGTATAATAATAGTCTATAGGTTAAAATAAAGCTTATAATAAGATGAATATGAATATGCATAGTTCAGTTACTTAATCACACAATAAAAATATATGTATAGAATTAGTCCAGAAATAGATCCCAACAGTTACCATTCATACTTCTCGTTGGGATATAACATGTCTAAACCTAAAATCCATTTGTTATCGAAATGTGAAAATATTGTAAGACATCTTCCTGCTTAGGAAGTGATTTGGCTGAATAATTATTTGTATTAACTATATAGTGTTCTAAAGCGGTTTCATGAAAAAAGGGAGGCAAATTATCCTGGAGATAATCACTGTAAAATATAAATTAAACCACTACGGCTGTTCGTAAATATGTCTCACTGCACATTGAAGAAGTAGTAGAGGAGATAACAATGGCATCCACATAAGTTGATAGCAAAGTTTTGATAATCATAATAAAAGAGAATTAACCTCTGTTGTGATAAATAGATAGACGGATGGATATCTTAAATTTTTGCACAGCAAAGTGGAATTTAATGCAGCAGTACATATTTTATTCTGAAAGTTATCTACTGTAATCAGAGATTTTGAATTGAATACAAAAATCCTTGATATCCAGGATTTAAAATATTAGGTGATAAGGTCGAAAACATTTCATAAGTCTCCGTTATCAATTGGAATTGTTAAGAAAATAACTTGATAATAGTGGTAGTAAAAGGGATTAGGATTGAGAATAAATGTGAACATCAACATTGAGATGAAAGTAGATTAAGCTGACAAGTAGTATGGAATGTATGTTTGTTAGCGGGACATAGACTAGATTAAAGCATGCTCAATGCATGATTGTTTTGGTGCACGCTGATTGGCTGATTCTTATCCAATCAGCACTAGTCGATTGTCGGAGAATACTCTGGAATCTTATGTAAAAACTATAAATATACCGACGTTTTCCCCTACTGTGCTTCTGATTTGCTATTTGGAATATAATCTTTTTACTGTTCAACCGTGTTCTGATTTGGGGACTTGTCGAGTGAATCGGTGTCCGAGAATACTAAGCAATAGGAATAGCTGGGTCATTAACCGGTAAGAAGAAAAGAGATTATAACAATGTTGTAGACCGTATTGGTAGCCATCATCTAAAGTATAATCAACTAAGAGCAGCTGAAGAACCAATAAAAACTGAAGAGTACTAAGACAGTTATTTAGATTAAGTTCAGGACTTCGGATAGGATATATTCACGACCCTCCTTGTACGCCTAGTCAAATTGTGTAAAAATCCCAAATTTAAAACCTGGAGAAGACCTCAAATTAAGGAAACAGTTGTTAATAGTTTAGCGTGTTGGTGACTTAGACACTGTACTGGATAGAAATTTCCGTCGCTATGACACACATGACTTTTTGTTAGTGAATATTTGGTTCAATCACATTAACACATCAATGAAATAATAATTTTCAAACTCCAAGTGCGTTGCTTATCATTGCTTGATGGACAGTTGTTTTAATTTACCAAGGAAGAAAACAAAAATGAACGACTACAACTGGTTAGTCTGAAAATAATCAGTCATTGTCATACATGATCATCCGAAGTTCAGCCAGAAAATTAAACACACCGACGCATATACTAATGACTTACCTTTTACCAACTTTTAATTGATTCAGTACATATTGTAACAAACCAGCCAAATCGAATTGATACTTTCTGCACAACAATCCAGTAAACAACGACAATGCTGATTAATTATGTAAATAAGAATAAGGAGGGGAGAATGGGTAAAACAATCAATACTAAAATGTTTTCTAAATAATTATGTGTGAGATTTATTGACGATATTACCATAGATATGAAACTGGAGGAGCGATCACATATTTCTTGATGTGACCATTTATAACTAATGTTGGATCAAGATATTAAAACATCTCGAACTTCTCTACAACTGTGAGAAATGACTTTAAAGAATTATTCTTCTCATGCAAAAACCGTTGCATAAGAAATAAAGCAGTTGATTGACTGTAAAAGGATTCCTGTAAAATTAATGGTACATATTCGCTGTTACTGTCATTTGAAGACAAGCTATAAACTAGAAATAATAACAAAAGTATTAACATGTACATATATTGATGGGGATACAGTAAACAATCAGTGTACCTTGTAAACCTTGACTTAATTGTAAATCTTCCAGTTTCGATTGATCTGTGGCAAGTGCTTCAATAATACAAACTGTGAACATAACAAAAAACAGCCCGAAAGTAAAAAGCAATCCACAAATAGTCACACATTGAAATGTACAAAACATTTGAAATGAATGTTTCGCAAAAACGCGTCTGACATTAAAAAATTCGAACGTTTCATTGAGATGGACTGTCTAAATTTCGTAATATAAAAGGAATTGAACTGCATTTCAACCAGTTGGTCACATACAGTAGTAAGCGTGTCTATAGTAATTTTTTCTTTATGCATAGGAACTTATTTTCCCGAAATGAAATAAGAATAGCTGTTATAAATTGTGTCATCTGCATCACTGTTAGTCCATTTTCTTGCATAACACCTTCAATAACTGATAGAATGGGTCATAATATCCCGAGTGCATTTTCAATACTGCTATAGGAGATAGTTAAGCATTTAAAAAAACATTGATATTCTTTGCAATGCCACTCCGTAAGGTATCGACGTTAGGTGAGTCAAATAAGTGCTTACATTTGTTCACCTCCATTAAAATGAGCAGAAATACATTGTGACAATTTGTTCTACAAGTAAATTTAAAGTGACCAATTTGGCAGAAAAACATCTCGTATACGCAACAGTTGATCTAAGTAATCAAACGTCCAGTGACCCTAGTCAGACCATGACGATATCCCGTCTGTTAAAAACTTATCACGAATGAGATTCCCAAGGTAAGTGAAGTGTTCAGTACTCTTAACTACTTAACTCCCTATAATCATTATAAGCGTTGACACATACTAGTCCTGAACCAATTTTTGGCATTTAGAGTGGCAGAAATGCTTTCCAAACATGCTCGAAGCGATTAGAGGACTTTAATGTGTTAGAATCAACGAATTTAACTACAAATCCACACAGACACACGCATGATAGGCATACAATTGATGAGTTTAAGTTATATTTTTAAAAAAACTTATTCAAGTTAACGACTTCATATTAGTCAGCCTCAACACTGACGATTTGATTTTATTTTATATGACAAAACAACAATCCTTGATTTACATGTTACAGTTCTAAATGATGCACTTTGCCTTAAACCTAGTCAATTTCATGGATTATTAATTTCGATTTATAATTGTTGAATCTGATGAGAAGTTATTTAAAATAATATTCTTCATTGATTGATAATAATAATAATAATAATAATAATAATAATAATAATAATAGTAATAATAATAATAATAATGGGAGAATAATAGGATTTATCAACTTACAAGTTAGCATATCATAGCCTAAACTGCTAACATATTTCAATGCTTCAACAACAGGATTTATAAGATTTGTAAACAGTTGAACTGTATGCAAGACCTGTGAGTATAACGAAATTGGAAAGAGTGAGAGAGAGAAGGATAATAAAATTGAAATGGTAGGATAACTTACAGAAATAATAAAACACACATTTATACATTCACTTGGTATTGTTTGCTTGTATCGTCCCCTTGTTCTTTAGGACTGTAATTTGTCAGTTTCGTGCCGATATATATACATCCTTTACGGGTTGCCTCGATAAGTCACAAGCTTTATAAGCAAAGACAGATGGTGGTTAGCAGTGGATGCCACTGCTAAAATACTGGTCAAATTCATAGTCTATAGTCACAGTGGAAGATGATTGTTTTTCGGGCATAGTTCTACATACTTTCAAAAGAATTATCCAATTATTATAGCTCCGATGCACAACCTTGTCGAACTCAACTCCAGAACTTTCACGTCTCCAGGCAAACTTGTTGCTTTCAAATAAGTCTGAAAGATTTCGATGATTTACATGTCTAACTTCAGTTGATTGGCGACATGGCGTGGCAAAAATTCTATCACATCGGTCTGAAAATACTTTACATTTTGTATGGTTGAACATTTGGCCTAATTAATTTCTCAGTCACCGACAAAAAATAGTTAAAATAAACTTTGTCATGCACCTACGGTTATGTGTTGTAATACAAGGTAGTTTGTTATGCCATTTGGTCCTTATATAAGCGGTATAAAATGGTATCAGTGTGTACCTCAAAATGAACCTTAGAGATCAGCACATCCAGATATGAATAGATTTACTTTGGTGATCATTTTCTCAAATTCGGCATAGCTATAACCGGTAATGTAATCAAGGTTTAGACTATAAATTTAGATGCATTGGGTTTAAACTTGACCCCCCTATAGAAGCAGGAACTGAAACTAAACCTAGTTTGTTTTTGAAAAATACTACATAAACTATCTTTTATGTCCAGTGCTGCAATCCAATATGCAGAAATACCTAGTAGTGGCATTCATAACTCTTTATCCAAAGTGAAAGTGTCTCATTTTTAACATTAAAAAACTTTCCAAGACTCTGGGATAACTTTATACAATATATATTTGCGAAACGAAATCGTTACCATCGTTTATATGCAACATAAATGATTATCGTCATCTGGTACAAATTTGTTTATAAAATAACCTATCACTTATATTACGATGGATCTACCACAGTAACTATAGATGTAGTACTGTGCTGTGTTTTCATTTAGAATTCTGTAGCTGTAGATGATTATGTTCACTTTGTAATAGCACTAGAATAGCCCCATCAATATGCTATTCATACTTCGATAGGACCTCTTAGTCCCCCTACTAAGAATAACTAAATCCCAATACCTGTCTTACATTATTTTAATCGTGGTGTGGTGCGTGCTACTTATATTGATATAAGTAGTATATAACGTGAGTCAAAAGAACGTAATGTCTGGCAGCAGAAGATGGAGAAGATCAAGAAAAGAAGAGCGAGAAAACAATGGAATTTGTAAGAAATTGCATGATCAATGAAATGCGAGACAATGGATTGATGTTTGCAACAGCAACAGCCCGGTTTGATATGATAGAATGATATTTTAACGATTTACTATATGGTTTTTCTATTTTACCAAGTAATTCTGTAATTTGTCCCAAATACAATTTGGCTGTCCTCACCCGTGTTCTTCTTCACTACAATGGTAACAAACGATCTCTCAGAGAAACATTATTTCAAATGATTTAATCTCAGAACTCTATCCTTTAAATGTAACATTTATTTCTCTACCAAAGTGAATTAGCATGGATTCTGTAATTGTTTCCAAAATATAATCTGGTTTTTTATTTACAATGAGAGTACGTAACGACATAGAAACATATATAATAATAGTGAGCTGGTATAGTGATACACCTATCAACCAACAGGTCCCCAGTTCCAAACGTTGCTTCATCTACTTCGGTTCGGGCAGCCGGTTAGTTTCACTAACTGGTGAAACAAGTATGAAGCAGTCCTTCACTTCGTAAATAAGTTAGATCACCGTTTACAGCACCTACTCGACAATCTATTAAGTATAAGGTCTCAACAGACAATAAATAACTAGTTAACCTAAAAATTGTGAGACATTTATTTATTTATTTTAACACCTAGATATTGGTACAAGGATGCACCAAATACATATGCGCCACACAAATCTCATTTGATTTGTGTGAGGGCTGCGACACTGCTCGGGTGTCCAAACCGAAGCAGGTGGCTTTCTTAGGGAGCCACAACCGGAGCATTCGGCCTAAAGGTCGCATTCACAAGGCAGTGGAGCAACGTCGGAAGATGCAGTCCCATGGTAGCCAGTGACCAACTATTGGTTCATACGCCATTTGTTCCCTCAGGATACTGGGGCTCATGTGCACCATTGGTTTGGAATCAGGGTTTTCCAACTCCCTTAGGAGGACTCTCCATGTCCATCAACTCGGTTAAAGCTCTGAATATTCACTTTTCGTCCTCTCAATTTCGTAAACAACACTCTTCGCCGCGATAAGGCAGTGAGTAGGACTTCCCTGGGAGTGGTTGTATACGCGTGGTCATGTGAAAGCATTTCGAGGGGGTGAGCGGACTCTCCTCACTCTCGGCCGTAACAAGGCATTTGGGGACTGTGAGACATTTACTATCTGTAAGATAACTATGCAACTAAAATCATAAATATCATTATCCTGATAGATGCAAATTAATTTATCTACAGTTCAGAAATCAAGCAAAAAGAAGCGTATGAGATAATGTAGAAATTATAAATTTAGAAGAAATGAAGGATCAATATATCTAGAGAATTGGGACCTATTTCAATCATATCGACTATCATCAAGCATAGATTATGATTATCTAATTAAATCGAACTAAAATGGGTCTATTACACTTGATACTAGCTATGACCAATAGTTATAATATTATTGCAAGTTAATGACGCCAGTGCTTAGTCTGCCAGCCAGTTTAAAAAAAAGCTAAGTTTTGGTAAAATTAAAAAGAATAATGTTACTTGAATAAAAATAATACCTATTTATGATAAAGTGATTTAAAATGTTTTAATACATATTCATAATGAATCAACCATTTAAGTAATGTTGAATCCAGTGTTCGCATGCGCTAACAGAAAGATTGGTCAAACAGAGTCCTGAATATAAACAAAGGGAATAGAAAATCTTAAAAAACGTCATGTCAATACCTCCTGGATGAGACTTGCAAGATCATCCACAGATTAGCGATATTAACAAAACTAATTAATTCCGATTCCCTTACGGTTGCAAATACTGTGACTACTTAATTTTGACAATTATTCAGTTGCATTAAAGAGTATTTTATTGGTCCGTTGATCGTTTTGAAAAGCTCAAGAGTACTAGATAGTAGTCTGTGAAACTTGTGACTCTAATTTAATCTTTGAGACAAAGTTTACTCTTTGCATACAATATGTATGGAAAAGCCAAAGCATATACAATACGAATAAAACAGAAACCTATGAAAACAATCGAAGGACTTACGTGATCAAATAATAAACCTGGATTACTGTGTGACAATTTTCCAAGATGTCTACCCATTGGTTTAACGTTTTCCTTGCTCAATCGTCTAAATAAACCAAAAAACGAAATATATATATGGTTTTGCCATGAACTGACATCAGTGGGGTGGTTCTGAAAATCAAGAAGTAGGACAGTAATTCCATTCTAGTGTGGATATTCAGAGCAGTAGAAGCTCACGATCCTATGGCGGACCGTGATGCCATACTACATCACGAATCGACTGGAGACCTGCTATGTGATATGAAAACTAGGCACATGTTGTGAGGCCTTAAGATTCCATAGTGGAAAAAACACCTGGTCAAAGCTATCTATCAGCGAATGATGTCAAATTCCGCGACAAAAACAAGGCATGGAGTGAAAAAATCCATGCAAATGTCTCAACCAACAAATATGATCATTTATTTAAGCAGTAAAAGTCAGTTACTGACACAAAATATACCACCACAGTTATTATATATATATATATATATATATATATATATATATATATATATTAATTTGAAGATAACGCAACTCCGACAAACTATATGCTTGAGAGCTGGTGATACTGTGATGTAAGCCAGTTATATTCTCATAAGTAGTGCATAACGATGGTCAGGAATAGGATGTATTTCAATAGAAGATCGAGAAGGAAAGAACGGGAACAGAAGGTAATTAGTATGAAAATGCAGGAACACTGAAATCTGAGACGATGGACTGATATTGGCAAAAGGAACAGTCAAGTTTGAAACAACTGATTGATATTTTGGAAATTAAGTATTTACCTTGAGGCTCTATGATTTTAGTAAGATGTTCTGTATTTTTGTGTTCAAACATTTTCAATTGCCCCTACTTGTGTTCTTGTTCACTACAATACCATTAGATCGCTCAGACCGAAGTAGAAGAAGGATCGCAGTTCAAACAATTAAGCCAGTGACTGGAAGTCAGATCGTTCAATTACTGAGTCGCAACTCATAGAAAGATTATTATGTAGTAAGTTACAATATAATCGACTGGGAAGCCCTAAAATAAATCTGAAGTTTTAAAAATCTCATTTGATATATTTACCAAAAAAGGCGTGAATAGACCAACAACCACAGCTACATTTAGTTTCATATGCAATTACTATTTCACCAGGAAAGTGGTGGTGAAGTACACGGACCCAATAAGACTAGCAAAAAATCAATAACAACACCAAGGGAAAAACAAGACTATATGTTATATTTACTTCATAATCGCCTTAGCATAGCACATTACTTGAGCCCGCCGACGTATTAGGCTAGGTTCAGTTTGAACGTTGAAATGTTTCCATTGTCCATATAACCGATATCTTTTTTGTAAGGATAATAAAATTAGAATAAATAGGATGAAAATAATTTCTAAAATACGGATATGATTAATGAGGAAAGCAACGTAAAATTTAAATACACATCTGACATAACCAAAGTTTTTGATGCAATTGTGATTACCTAACTATATGATTTGATTGAATAATCAACAGGAAGTATACATCAGCTAGTGAGAGCTCTACATCTAACACAGAGAATGTTCCCGAAGGATTTGGATCGATTTGCAAACGACAGATAGATTAATATAAACCGAACCAGTCAACATTTGAAGATAAGAACATTTATTCTCACGGTAAGAGACTGACCTGACAACAAAATAATGTTCATTGGAACAATCATGAAAGATTGAATATAAGACTACTCGACTCAGAGGATGTAGCATTATTAGAAAAATCCACCTGATCAAAACATTTTGCATACTATTTCAAAAATAAATCCCTATCAACCGATTAATCCACAGCTGAGACAAAGTTATTAAGTAATAACCAATGAACCATCTTTGGTGACGTTCATTTACAAGAGGCAACCATAAGCTCAAAGTTGAATGAAAATATTACCCAAAGGCAAATATATACTTAAACTCGAGTTAATGAAATGGTACACAATACTACATAAAGCTTATTGACGAGTAAGATAGCATCAAAGCATTACTACATAATCCGAACCTAGCAACGCGACACAGATAAGCAGTTAATGACTTCGTGGATGGATGCCATGTATCCGTTTGTTCTCTATCAGATTTCTCCCAAAAAACCATATACCGCACAACAAAACATGTCAAGGAAAGCAACAGTTAGGTCCACTTAAAACACGTTCCAACCAACTATGTCAGTCAGTCAGTCAGCTACAACGTAGGACCAGGCACATATGTGCATCGGTCCAGGTTGCCATACCTCATTAGCACAGCAAGATGAACAGCGGATTCATAGAAGTGGTTAGGTCAAAGGTTGAAATAAGGATATAGTATAGGAAGAAAGAATTAGTTCCTAGACAGAAAGAATGAAGTGATTTTAATCTCTTAGTTTAAGGGAAGACAGGGAGTGTATGCACCGACGCCATTGTGATCGGTTCTGAGCCATGTCACCAAGAGTCTCCAACCATTGGTTACGAAAGTCACGCGGACCCCAACCAAGTAGTCTGCATCTACCAACATGGCTCAGACTAGAAGTTAGTGACTCCAGGCACTGATGCCACGCTTTGGTTTGGCCGCCCCTAACTTTCTTCCAACCATCCCCGACCGTTGTTGCTACCTTGACGTGGTGGTCGGGCTTGCCTATCGTGATGAAGCAACCGAGCTATACTGGCTGGAACAACCGTTCCTCAAGGTCCTACCATGTCAGACAGGTCGGTTGAAGAGCGATAAGATTAAAAGCAGCAAACCCAAGGTCCGAAGGCGAAGTCGTACTGCTGACTGTACAGAGGTGTGACAGCAGTAAGGTGTTTCCTTCAGACAACCAGCATGACAGCGATGCTGCCTTCCCACAAGGAGGGGTGGGGTTAGAAAAGGTCGACCCTAAAAATGCACACCTCGCCTTATCCCACGGATATCCGTCTCCGGCGGTAAGGTCTCAATAAGTACGGAGCTAACACAAAAATTACCCATAACAAGGTCGTGTGTGACCGACCTCAAGCAGTTGTCCCTTGGGCACTGCGGTCACGCTCTCAGGTCACTAAGACCACCTTTAATCCAAATTCCTTTTCAGGTACCTCCAGAAGAACCCTTCCACGGTGTGGGCAACCGGGAAGTGAAAACCGCCCTCATACCTCTAACAGCACTCAAGACCACTGTATTCATAATCAACCAACTATGTACATGAAGATTTGAAAAATTCATCAACCAGTAAGCCATATTTGCCTACTACCCTACCTCAAGCATCAGCATTACTCATTCAGTGGTCCCGCCATACTCAAACAATTTTTCGAAGACAACTACGATTTAATACTAGTAAACTACGAATGTTCTCTACTTTTACAGACAACGTCTCACAGCCGTTGTAAAGTACACGGTGGAAGATTGTTGAGTAGTGCAATTCCTTTTGATTGGGAGACCAACACCTCGTCTACGCAACAGTTGATCTAAGTAACAAAACGTCCAGTGACTCTACTCAAACCATGACGCTATTACACCTGAAACAAAATTCTCTTCTAACCTGTATGCTATAGACGAACGTTGATAAATCTGAATAGTCGAGAAACAAACGGCATGTAATGAAGCAACTGTACAAAAAGGTTTTATAAAATCTCAACACGGATTTTTTAACGTTAAGTAATCCATCAACTATTACTAGCATACACATAAGACATGTAAAGCGATTATTCCCTTTGATAAATAATAATAAGAGTAATAATAATAATAATGTGAACACAGTTTGATACCTAATCACTCCGGACAATAAGTCAATAGTACCAGCAGCAAAGGTTATTATCATGGAAAGAACAAGGTGCATGCTTCATCCAAAACCTAAAAGACATGAAAACGATTGTGTCACATCCCACTGTGTTTACCAATTTAAATGTGTATCTGGCCACACATACATAGGGAGCAGGAATCGTGATCTCAACATTAGGGTGTCTGAACAGGTACCAAAATGGTTGCAGAAACAAATACAATCAAGTGACCCAATAAGAGCAGAGGATAAACATCCATCATTCTCTATTGCCAAACATATAATCGAAACAGGCCATAAGATTGATCTAAACTTGGCTTTTGTGGTGTTGTATAAAAGTGTAAAAGGGAATATACTAAGGTTTATTGAAGCCTTAGCCATACGAAAATTCAAACCCCCTTTGTGTATTCAAAATCAGCTTGTTCTTACATTAACCCTACCCTGGTAATATTGACTTATTATCCAGAGTTATTAGGTATCAAACTGTGTTCACATTATTATTACTCTTATTATTATCATTGTCTCCTCTTACTCCATTTCCAGTCAAGTTGACCTTTTGTTTTTATATATAAATGTTCTTAACAAGTATATGTGTGATCAGCTTGCTCGAAATGTATTGCGCTAATATATCACATAGTTATAATCTTCGTCTTCCTATTGCATTATCAAAACATGACTATGTGATCTTAGTTTTTGCATAAAGCTTATTTTCAAATAGTTAACCTAACACCAAAGACAAGTACTTTCATAGCACCAACCAAAACTTACCGATGTTCATAAGGCAAAAATCGTAACATCTGCCAAATCTCTTCAGCCAAACAACAATTAGCATCAACCAAACTCAACGACGGAAGAAGCACTTCATCTAATAAATTAAAAAATCCTTGATAAACAATTCCAATCTTGTCAGACCGAAGGTTTTGCTACACAATAAAAAAAAGATGAACAGAATCCTAAAATGACCAATTTGACTAAAAGAAAGTTACCGAGAAAAAATGACTTCATATTAACATCTTATTAGTCACTGAGTGTGATGACTAGTGTCATAGTTGTCTAGTCCTTTAGTGTCGATAAGATTTTATGGACCAAGTTTTAGTGTGACGAATATCCTAAGTGACTTGACATCATGTGCACTAAATTGAGACGTAAAGTAATTTGGAATGGCCAGCACGAAACCATAGACCATTGCCTACAAAAACCCAATGTCTGTTGGTGTAGGAGAAGGTTGGAAGAAGGGTAGGGATGGCCAAACTAAGACATCGCACTAGACCATGAAGTAAATGATTGTGGGTCTGAGACATGTGCGGAGATGCAGGCTAACTTGTTGGGGCCCACATGATAACCGCAATCAGAAATTGGAGATTTTGGGTGACATGACTCACAAATATTCATAATGGTGCTAATGCAGTTACATCTTATTTTCCTTTCAATTTCAAAATTCCTTCATAGATACCTTTCCATTCTCTCGTTTTGAAGCATATTTCTAGTATTCGATCTTTCGTATTTTTGGTACTGTATCATTTCGATCTCTAGAGCAATTCATTTTATTTTTATATCGTAATGCTAACACAGTCTTTGTTGATGATGTTTACCTGTTTGTCCGCTTTGCAATGGTTGATACTTGAATTCCATAAGGAGCATCAATTAACACAAGATTGAAAGTAGATTTTCCTGACGTCACAAGTAGCATGAAACCTAGATCTATTATTTCGTACCACCTATAACCATTTAACACATCAAGAATTTATGTTAAAATGTGTAATTCAAAGTTATGTTTACTAGAATTCTGTAACAGACATAAAAAAGAAAACATCGTTTTTGTAGGGCGATGTGATCGATAGTAATACTACCATTATTACTAATATAATGACTTAGCAACAAAAAACTACAAGATGTATATAAATTTATGAATCGATGCATGAGACAGACAAAAATGGTTATTATATTAATATGCTCTACTCGGTTTTTCTTGATGCTGTTTATGATTTTCCTTGTCCTTTCTCTTAATTTCTTTCATTGAATCTGATTGCTCCTTCACTAAAAATTGTTATTATTGTCGTCGCTATACCATAAAATAATGGACACATGGTTCCCGAGGTCTTAAATTCCAGTAGTTCGTCAGTTGACATAACCGATCGATGAAAATAGATACACATACAAAGTAACTTCATAAGTTATCATGTTTCAAATCCCATACTTTATCTAATTCGGTTTTGGTAATTGGTTGTTATCACTAGCACTTTACACAAAAACAAAGTTTGATTCAAAATCGAGTGCATGAAAATGCTCAACTGCTATAAAATTTTATTCTTAATTTTTTACTAAACATTTCTTTCGTCAAATGGGTAATCATTCATTGTTCACCACCTGGATTATCATTTACAAGTATTCCAAAATATATAAAATGGATAAAATAAAATGATAAGCTTAAAGAAATCCGAATATTATTACGGGTGAGCTACTCACTTGCTGTTCAGAAAGATATATTTGACCAAGACGACAAAACTTCACTATTAATATTAAATCATATGACATATGCGGGCCTAAATAAATTGCTATTGGTATTACATACTTGGCAAGGCCAACAAAATCATGAACAGGTGATAATAGAATACAATCATTATTATTGTTATTATTATTTGTAATGGTCCGACTGTCTTCATGTATTTCACAATCAACAGACGATTTCTCATCAATACCATGTAAATTAATAGATGCATTTAATGCTTTGAATGACTCGATTCTCGGTCGAAAACGATTACGTTGTAAACAGGCAGGTAAAGGGCAAGCTCTAAAACAATTAGGAAAATTTTTATGATTCAAACTGCATAAGAAAAAGACTAATACTGAGCAATAAATAACATTTCAATTTCACAAAACGTATGGAAACCACAGAGTCTGAATATGCAATATACCATTAATTCTCGGAAGACTCAGTTAACTAACTCATTGTTTAAGACACAAATGTGTGCTTTTTCAAGCCTTTATGTCTTAAATTAGCACAGCAATAGTTGATATCAACAGAATTAAAATGAACTACAATGGGAAACTGAACACAAGAGATACACTGGAGAAGTAACATATGAGACACGAATAAATTAAACTGAGTCACTGAAAGCTACGTAACTTGATATCTACAAGCATTAAGCTACAATACCAATTTTGTCTTGAGCAGCTTGGTCAAAAATACACTACGACACAAGAACCTGAGGAATAATACGGTGTTATACAAAATGTAATCAACAATATTTTGCGACAAAACAATCAGTCAACTCAATTCCATTCAAATAGATAATTTATTTGCTACATACAGTTCCATGTGATCGAATTTGAGTCAAGCTGAGAAGAGGTCAGTGAGACTACCAGGCTGTCTGAGGAAAGACATAGTTATAGGATTTGAACCACAAACTTAGTAATTTGACCTAAGTGCTTTAAATACTCCATTTTATTGCAGGTGGTATGATGTAAAGAGTGGAGCAGTTTCGTGGATTAGACGCTAGGCTACCATCGGAACCCTATTAATAATTTCAAGCAATGTGGTGAGCTAACACAGTGGTTAGAAAGACTGGATTGTTGAGTAAATTGAAAGCTTGGTGACTAGGTACATATGTGGGCATCAGGATTTGGAACCTAGATTGGTATACGTGAATAACAATTTATTTCGCCCAGATTAAGCTGGGACAGGTTCAAAATTTTTTTAACCGAATGAATGCATAAATATTAGAAACGCTTAACGATGGTACTCATATATCTAACCCTTAATAACTTATAGAAATATTTACTTGTGATAACTTTGTGGCTTTTAATATGAAAAATATATGGATGAATACGTTAAGTACTTACTTATTGTACAAAGGTTCAATTAAACAATGCAACAAATTGCATATGTCTCGTGTTAAAGGTTCATATGTAGTTGCCCAGTAACCAGGTAGGCGTTCTAACAGACGTTGAGCATTTGTCCAATCGCCTAAACGAACCATGGCAGCACATAACTCCAATTTTTGGTTATTTTCATACTTTAGTAAAATTAAAATATTTTGTGGAAAAATTAATCAGTGGATTTAGTGTTCGTTTAAAAATAATTGAGAATTTAACGAACCGAGCAAAGAAATTTAATAAAAATCTAGACAAATAAATCCCAGAAATGAAATTTTCATCTAATGCAGATCAGTATGTACACAATTTTTAGAATGTTAAGTTCAATAAGACTGAGTTAGAAACGCTACCATTAGGCAATGAGTTTCGCGGCTCTAAGGAAAAGGTTAATAAAACGGACTTTGAAATTCAATTTGAAAACCTTTATGCTCAAACGCCAGAACCAGTAACTTAATGAAAAGATAATGTTGATATTTAAATCAACACTAGTGGACAGTTGCTATGGATACCCAAATCACCGACATAATTTGTGAGGGATATTGACGAGAAAATATAAGGAAGCTTTAAAGAAACTTACAACTGTTAGGGATGCAAGATCCCCAGAAATCACTTAATAAACGTCTTATTTTTGTAACTTTATTTTGGGAATTCGGATTTTTCGTTTTCGGTCCAAAAGCGCTCATTTTTACCTTCAGATTGTTTTTCCCATTTGAAAAGACCCTAAATGTCATTGGTTCGTCCCTTCTTTTAATATGCTATTTTATGACGTTTCCGAAGGACATTTTTATGCTGTGTACATATACGCTTGAGTTATGGGCTTGGTTGTTTGTGGTTCTGGGTGCTTGTGGAATAACCTTCCCTTACCTGAACAAGGTCTTCTCCTTATAGATAACGGGGCTGGGCGGCATTGGAAAAGTTAAACTTGTCGTTGTTTCGCTGATCCTTCATTTCGTTGGCTGATTTTAGATGATCTCGTAGTCTCTTCAAGCATAACAAAAGCTGATGACAATTTAATAATCACGAAACGAGGCAAAGGTTGTGGCGTAGTACTCATGGATAAAAACAACTATTTAAACAGAATGAAGGCCCTTTTATATGATAAGAGTAAATTTCAAAAGCTGGTAGTGAAGAATGATGTGGTAGACAGGATTGAAAAACAACTAATACTCATTGAAACAGGTTAAAGTGTTCGGAATGTTGAGACCTACAAGAGCAACAGGACCAAGGCTATATGGTTTGCCAAATATACAAAAAAGGCTCACCCCTCCGATAACTTTTAAATATGAAAAACAACCTATCATATTATAACAAAAGGGTTAGTGCAGATTTTCAAACCATTACACAAAGAAAGTGTCAAGCATAGCGTCAAAGATTCCTATGAATATGTTAGTAATATAAAAAATCTGTCAGTCAAGAATAACTTCATGATATCACTAGATGTATTGTCTTTATTCACCAACATTCCCCTACTTGAGACAGTGGATTTCATTTATAGTGAAATAACAGGAATGTACATAGAAACTTTAATTCCCATATCTGCAATAAAACAGCTAATTATTAGACGCACGGCGAATATCCCACATACGAATTGAAAATGAATACTATAGAAAATCGGATAATGTAGCCATGGGGTTTCAATTGGGAGATATATTATCAGACATTTTTCTTGCAAAACTAGAAAATCGATCACCTAAGGACACAAACAGTCACTTACGGTATTTTGCAGCAACTTTAGCTGAATGCAACATTGATACGTCATTCATTTAACTCCACGTTTTACGTGAACACCTACTATCAAAAAAGCATGGTTTGAACACATCTAAAATTTTTGTATCACTAATAGAAATCTTGAATTATCCTACTTAGATTTAAGTGGCTGAGCGATATTAATAACTTTACCACACGCTTTTAGGCCCAAAATCAACCGCATGGGTCTGAGAAAAGTTCAAAATAATTAAAATACATGTGGCGACATCAGCGTCAAAAAAGCCACGTCAAGGAAGGAAAAATATGTTTCAGCGTACGAAACCGTCTCTATTGACAAACACTGAAAAAGTTAATGTAGGGAGTGCCGGATAGGATGATAGGTGTTTACACACTTAAAAATTCACTCGAATAAAATAAAAACGAATTCCAAAACACTCACCAATCCATCTTGATCAATACTTATATCTATCATACCAACTTCACTAACATCATGTGAATTCGTTTTACTTAAATTTACATCGGGATTCTCCTCCAATTGCATTAGCTCTTCTGCAGAGCGAGAAGTTAGCGCTCCTGACGTCCTAGGACCAGTCCAATCGTTCGTCATCAATGTCCCAGAAACAGAAGTAGTACCACTACCACCAAGTTGAGAATCCTGGCTCAATAGACCTAAACATAAAATGATATTTTACAGAAAATAAATCCGTAAATTACCATCAACACGAATTAAATCACAGTTGATTGCAGTATTCAACGAGGTATTGATCGCAGAAGTTGCTGAATAAGATAAACTTGCCGGCGGTTGTGGACGATAAGATTTAGCCAAGTTAATTTGACGATTATGAGATTGCTGAATATCCGCATCGGATGGAGTTAACTAAAGGCACAGATAACAACAACGAAAATAAACATACATTCAAAAACGAAAAGGTTAGATTTAAAGTGGTTTCTACATAAAGATAATGGTGTTAAATATATTTTTCAGATTAAGAACTTGATGCGAATATATGATAGTGATCTGTTCGAAATTACGGTTCACCCACGTTTGAACAGTGCAACTATTGAAATAAATTAATCAGATTGGTTTTAGAACTGACTTTTTATTTATTTAGTCGATATAAAATTCAATAGTTATTGACCGAAACTTTGTGCGGAACACGAATAAAAAGATAACATTGTGAAGAAATGGAAGAAAGGAGTACAACAAAAAATAAGTGAATGATTATATTAGGCAGTAAGAGATATAGTTCAGTAAAAAGAATTGGGAGAGACTTCTTCCAGTTAACGGAGTTTACCTAACTGTTATGAAAAATGCGCAATGAAATTACATCACGATTGTCACTAAATTCCATTATCTGAAGGACCCCATCCAATCAGATGTTCATGATGGACCGGCAGATGCTTTTCATTATGAATTAATTTCCTTTCGCAGATTTTCATATTGCTGTTCATATTGATACCATGTGACCACAATATAAGTACATTTCTAGCACATAATAACGCAATATCGATAAGGATTCATGAGCATAGAACATTCATGGAAACACACCGTTGTCTTCTCGTTATATCTGTTTATACTACCACAGTCGGCAACTCGGAAATTGATAGAATTTTGTGAAAACCATTTGACCTTCTTTCCGAAAGTTAAATACACAGATATTGTATAGTAGTAGAGGTTAAGTGAGTCTGACAATGTTGCATCTCAGTGCATAAACAACCACACTCAGCTACTCCAATGATGCTACGATAATAGCTTATCGCTAGTAAGCATCGATTTTAAGCGTAAGGAAGGTTGCTAGACATAGTGACCTCCAAATTTGACCTAACGATTAACTCGAATAGAAAACAGTACCGTCAGCCATCGTTGTAGGGGCTCAATAGGGCAATATAGCTTATTCTGGAGTACACGTCTGGACTCGGATCACACTCTTGTTCCAGAACGAATTTGTCTGCGTCTTACCGGACATAGAAAAGTCACAGCAAGAAAACCCCTTGGAGTTCGACTTGACGTATTGTCTTTTACTTTTATTTATTTCACTTATTTAACAGCGCTACTTGAGAAGCCTACTGTAAGCAAACCAATGTTGTAACTTATAGATCATGCACATAAGGATTAGGTGTACCTGTCCTCGCAAATATATATTATATTATTACGAATAGAGAATATCCGTTGGTTGTTGGTGTTCGATCAAAGGTATCTTTGAAGCGTCACTCCTGTATTTTGAGATCACTGAGTCAACAATGCCAAGGATAGGAATAGGGTACTAGTTAAAGATGGAAAATCGATTGAAAAGGTAGTAAATCTTCATCGAATGGGGTGTTTGAGACACGTGTTGCGTATACTCAAACACTGACTCCCTCGACGGGAGATATTGTCTACTGTGGGAGTGTACTGAAAGCTCGTCGTGGTCAAACCAAAGTGTGGTACCAATCCTTGAAGTAATTGACAATCAAACTCAGCGATGTTACTAGATCTCGATTACCTGGTTGTGGTCCGCGTGACTATCATAACCGGTGGTTAGAGACTTTGAATGATATGGCTCAGAATCGTTTGTAGTGTTTTCGTCCAAATTTTGAACTTCTGATTTCCTGATCTTCTGATTTATATTTCCCAGAATCGTATCTTTGGTCCCTGGTGTTTTCTATCACCACTCATACTGCTACTAACCTTACGATTCTGGGATTTCGTCTGACAATTTGATTTTGTGCTTATGGAGTATGTCATTTTGGACCGATGTGAATACGTAGAGGGTTCTACGTTGTAACGTACCAACTAATATAGCATAGTGACTTTCCGAGAGAGGCTTTTCTTATTTCAAACTGTGTATCATCGAACAATCAATAAATCTACTTTAAGATTAGGAAGTTTCCTAGTTAGGACAAGTCCTATCATTCACACGCATAGAAAACGGCATAATTATCTACTTTTCTGAATCGCTCTACTTCACATTAACAAAGCGGCAGAGGAAATTATCGAAATAGAATGTAAATTATTTGAGATAATTTCAATAATAAGGCAAAAATGGGATATGTAGTTAAAAAGGGATGAATTAAATCAAAGAATGATAAATTTAACTTCGATCTGCTCAATCCTTATAGATTTTGAAATTTAGTTAGGTAAGGTCTTTAAAATTAGGTTACGAATATACCTCGTAAACTCGAAACAAGACATATCCACGTTCAAAAATTAATTGATTGATCCACTGACATATTTTCAATGAGTTCCAGTATATAAAAATACAATTTACGCTTATTCGGATTACTATAGGCAAACGTCTAATTCCATTTTTTTAATACACTTTACCTTAAGCAATACTGATAATGAAGCTTACAGGAGTTGATATTGAAAACCTAATTTTAGTGAAAAAACAAACAACAGTGCTTTTTTTCAAACCATTTGTCATCCGTTCATGCTAAAGTAGGCAACAAATGTACATTGTATATGTAGACATGAATACTGTTCTAAACAATTGGTTTACAATTCAATAACGATATACACTTAGGAAGGAGGAACAGGAAGATGGAGAATACAGAAAATTTATTTTACAACCAGTTTTTTTGGAAATAACCTGAAGGTCATGTGATGAATTATATTGATGTATTATTATAGCAATTAGAGATATTGGTTAGAACATTTATCCTTAAAAAATATTGAGTTCAACGACGGTTACTTATCTCAAGTAATGTACTCCAATTTGAGCAACATATAGTTTTTGAATTACATAACGTTTTATTTCCTATTATCACCAGCCCACTTATTTAAACTGATGAACTTTATTTGAAGTTGTTTTTACTTATAGCGGGCAGTGGAATACGAAAACCATTAATCTATTAAAGCACAATCCAATAAAGTGTGTAAATCAGGCATTCATTTGTGGAGCAATTTAATAAAACATTTACATACTTCTTTTTCAAGCCTATAAAAACTTTGTTTGTTTATAAGGCCTCCAGTCGGGATTTCTATCTGAGGATATATTTAAACTAATTAAACCTGTCCTAATCAGATCATATTTGAGCGGGATTCACACTTACAACCTACTAATTCAAAGTTAACAACGGTAATCTTTAAGTCACTAATGCTACATGCTACTTATATGTCAAAATAAGTAGCAGACATCACAACCATCTTTATCCTAGTGAAATATAATTTCGCTAACATTTTTTCCATATAATCTCTTTTACTATTGATGTTATGCTTCAAATGTTATTTCCATGTTCAATTGTTGAGCACACAAAATGTGATCACAAGTGAAAACACACATTTCTACTTTAGATTATCATGTACACAAACGTTATTTCCTTGCATACGCATGTTAATCAGGAAATGTTTTGTACTTATAATGAATGTTCACTAGTAAATTATTAATAACAATTACCCAAAAAGTAGAATCAGATAGCAACACTTATGCTATGTAGTGTATCACAAGAATTTATATCGTTTTTAATAAAGGACGATAAATTACAGTCAGAAGTTTATTTCTCTATAATCTGTAATATGTAACAGTAAGTTCGTCCTAAAAGTAATTTTGAGCAAGAATTGATGTCAACTGAAAAGCTATTAGAAGTCAAGCAACAGTAGATTTATTCTACTCTTAAACACTGCACATTCCCAATTAAACATAAAACCAAAACCGGTATCGACAGGTGATATACAGAGTAAACCAACTCATACATAAATCAACAAGCATAGTGATGTTAGATGATATTTACAGTGTATAGTAAATGGTCTGAACCTAAAAAATCAACCCAATAGGTAACCGACTTAAAATATTAATTATAAAGGAGGAATATTCTCACTATATATTTACTAACGGCACTTTCACAACGGTGCATTTTAATTACCCTATAATTGCTGATAAAAAAAGAATAAAATTTGTGAGAATTGATATTATATATTTATATCTGTTTTTATACTCTTTCTATCAATTTGAGAAGAAACTTGTTGACTGTAAATCGAAAGTGTTAACCACTAAGCCCTCGTTTCAGTTTTTAATAATCAAAAGGTGACATGAATAAAGGATGCATTTTTGAATTGTTTTCATAATACTACACACTAAGTAAAAACAGAAGCGGTTAATTTAATTTGTTCATCCTTTTTTTATTTTTCCCCCACCCATAAACCTGATAGGTCAAACTAATAGTGATCTAGCCCTGTGCTTAGTTTGGTATAACTTCGATATATTTCTCACTGCAACAACTACAATTCACGAGTAGTATGTCACTTGACGGATATCTGGCTTAACGACAACCATTAAGTCCAGCGAAAACACAACCACTTCATCCACTAAATATGCTCTCAGTATTATCTTTTCACTGTTAATACCATTCTCAAAACCTGGGTCATTATTTATTTATGCGCTTATCAAACAAGAAAAAAATTTAATGGCACATGAACCACTGAAATGGATAATAATGACAAATTAACAATATTCTTTACATGTAAAAATAATCCATACCAACTGATCCTAATGACACTACTACGCCGGAAGACTACTTCCATTTAAGCCGTGATTTAACGCTTCCAAATGAAAAGAAAAACGGTCATAACAAACGAGACAAAGTCCACACCTATCGTCTGACGTTTTCTCGAAATTTTTAGGATGCATGTATGTTTACAATTTTTTAATACACCAAAGATGAAACTCTAAGTCTAGTCAGTATACAAACACTTTGATAGTCACATCTCTTACTTCCTGGGCGTAAAGCAGTACCATGACATGAAGTCCATTCTGAAGTGAAAGTACACTTTTGTAAAAACGTCAACAGTATTTAGTAAGTTCAAGCAATTTAAGTAAAAAGACAAAAGTTTTAGCTTGTAGTAACGTAAACCAAACACCACACAACGTTAACTGAAATAACTATCAGTAGAAGTCAATTTCACTAGCAAATACTTGATTGTAACATTCAGGTCATAGGATATCGTGCTAGAGTTAGAGCTAATAAGAACACACTACTATCGAATGAAATTCTTCTGATAACGCGAAGAGATTGGTAGCGACAACCCTGAAATGCACTAATGAGTATTCAGGCGAAAAGGTTACATACCATTGAATTACGTCAATCCCAAATCTTAGGTTAAATTACGATGTAGATTGGTACATAATAATCTGGTTTTTCAGTAATTATCAAATCTATATTTCTATAGATTTCGGGGATATAGAAAATTAAGCCTGCAGGATTACACATGGAATACAGAAGGATTGCTTATAATCCTAAATACTGATTCTGTAATTTTTTACATTACTTTTAAAGCTTTATAAAATCTACTCTCAATACACGTTCTGTAGACAATCCTATTACCAATCTCACCTAGGAACATGGCCCCCAAATGCCTTGTTACGGCCGAGAGTGAGGAGAGTCCGCTCACCCCCTCGAAATGCTTTCACATGACCACGCGTATACAACCACTCCCAGGGAAGTCCTACTCACTGCCTTATCGCGGCGAGGAGTGTTGTTTACGAAATTGAGAGGACGAAAAGCGAATATTCAGAGCTTTAACCGAGTTGATGGACATGGAGAGTCCTCCTAAGGGAGTTGGAAAACCCTGATTCCAAACCAATGGTGCACATGAGCCCCAGTATCCTGAGGGAACAAATGGCGTATGAACCAATAGTTGGTCACTGGCTACCATGGGACTGCATCTTCCGACGTTGCTCCACTGCCTTGTGAATCCGACCTTTAGGCCGAATGCTCCGGTTGTGGCTCCCTAAGAAAGCCACATGCTTCGGTTTGGACACCCGAGCAGTGTCGCAGCCCTCACACAAATCGAATGATTTATGTGGTCCATATCCATCAACTCGGTTAAAGCTCTGGATATTCGCTTTTCGTCCTCTCAATTTCGTAAACAACACTCCTCGCCGCGATAAGGCAGTGAGTAGGACTTCCCTGGGAGTGGTTGTATACGCGTGGTCATGTGAAAGTATTTCGAGGGGGTGAGCGGACTCTCCTCACTCTCGGCCGTAAAAGGGCATTTGTAGGCCATTACACGGGTTCCAGTAGAAATATAATCTCAACAATTATATTAATGTATGTAGTCAAAATATTAAAAACCTCTGTAGAATATGTTCGCAACAGATATCTAATGAGCTAGTTGATGAAAAACATTCAACCATTCAAGACCTATTGTGAACGGCTACATGATGATCTGCGGAATATATGTGACACGATAATCACTCGTCTAACGTTATCACGTATACAGTGAAATTCATTTGCTGCATGGGAATCAGTCCATGACCATGTAACTTGGTTAATTGTTTAATAAATAACAATCCGAATAAGCAACCAAATTTATCCCTACATAAGCTGTGAACCACACCACTATAAGACCGCTAAACACTGTGTATGACGTATAATGTCGAATTCCAGTATATGACACCCTATTGGATGAGTGTCTGAGTAATGAAACAAACAGCGAACTCATAACAACCAATAAAACAGGATCTACAATACTCCACACCAGCTATCACTATGTAGTGAGTGGTAATTAAACTACACTTGACGAATAAGAAATGGATTCTTCTAGATGAGAACCAAATGTTTCGCCAACTAACCGAAACAAGTTACGATATAAAGACCATCGATCATCAAATACATCGAAAACTGTACTACAAAAAACATGTAGTTTGCAAAATTTTCCCATTTCCCTTTTTTAAATGACTGAATAACTTACGTGTCCGTATAATACATCCAAGTCAATTAACTTTTTCCAAATTAAAAATGCTGAAACTTTGTACAATGACTCTGGTGTATTGACACCGGGTTCCTGGAGGAAATGGATAATTGAAAGAATTAGACTTAAAATACTTGTGTAAAATGATATTTGTGTCCCAATATATTAGTCATATCTATTCTATCAGGGTTGTAAAGTCGTATCAACTGAACAAATTCCTCGTACATATCACCACGGAACTCACAAACATCTAATATCAGGTCCAGGACACGATTTGGATCCAAATCAAAATAACCAATTAATGATCGAATCTGAACCATTGCGGCCTCCATCGACGCAGTTGACTTTATTTGACATAATTCTGTGATCAGCTTGGCATAGCCTTCATTTTCTTCACGTAGCAAATTAAATTTTTGTTGTTTGAAAAATAAACGCGTTTTAGTGCGAACATAACGCGTTTGGAACTGTTGTTTCGATTGAATGAATGACAGGTTTTCCAAGGTCTCTTCACAAAATCTCTCCATAATCAAAGCAGGATTCACATGATTCTTCAGAATTTCTATTAACCGATAGAAACGATCTCGAACAGATTCTGATTTAATATCAGCAATTGACGAGTCTAAATGGGAAGTTTGGAATTTGCAGATATTTTTAAAATACGTATATACTGACCAATTAACCAAAGGGAATCTAACAGGTCGGATTCAAAGGATCCATTACCACCAAATATCTAGTAAAAAAGTAATGAGTTCCAGTAAATTACGTCAAACATACTTTAAATAACTCAGGAACTAATTTGGCAAGTATATCAATTTTCCCTTCTCCATTTATCAACTTCAATACCAAATCCGTGAACAATTTGACAGATCCAGCCATTCCACCTTCCTTGCACTTTGTTAGACTGTAACGGAAAAGACTTGATTTAAGCAGCTGAATCTTGAAACATTAGTTTGAAATATAACCTTAAGGAGTTTCCCAAAAACAGATTGGCGAAACGAATCATACGTAATTAGAATAAATTGATAAATTTTAAGCTACGCATGAAGAATATTAACATTATAAATTCAAAGGTTTTCGAGACCTAATCGCAGCTTCGGAAACATTTAGGTGACTGTTACTACGAAGTAGTTGTACTTGCGAATAAAGTTAGCCTCTGATTACGCTTCCAGCAATCAAAATGGTTTACAAATAAAAAGCATCATTCAAGTGCATGAATGTACGCTTTGAACTAAAACAATTTTCTTACAATCGGTTAACCTTCAAAGTACAAAACTTAGCTTCAGACTGATAGTGGTGTTACTCTTCTGCTGTTCTCGCAGTTGCCATGATCTCCTTTCTTTTTATAGTGGACCACTATCAATCGACACAAAAGTCAACTGCTATCGTGTTCAGACTACATTTGGATGAATTGTGCCTCGATTAAACAAAAGCTATTAAAATCTGTTAGCTTATTTTTACACTATTTTAGGCCGCTGTATTACATTAGGGCTGGTTTAACAGGATAGGAACAATACAAGACTATCCTGAGGTTTAAAGCTTACAAGGGATCTAAGAGAACCTAGTTGCTTGTCACTTTCTTACGACAAAAACCACGAATTTTCAGTCTTATTGACTTTTATATGACGCACTTAAAATTCTACACATTCCAAACACAATATGTAATGTAAACGAAAAGTGAATAGACCACATAGCAGGCATTCCAAGAAATGAAGGCGCGAATATACGCGCTTACGATGAGGTTTAACGTCAAACTTATCGCGGCTACTAACCACGAATGGGCGAGTCGCACATAAGCAACCGTAAATGAACGTCAATCGAAAACAAAAATCAAGGATGGTATTGTCAAAGTAAAATCAGCATTTTAAATACCCCTTACAAACTGAAAATAACAGTATCAATCTGTTTTTACAGCGCGACAGAACTAGCACCGAATCAAACTACTAATTTTGTGGTTTCTCTAAAATCACTCACAAATTCTTCCTGCCGAACTTCTCCCAATCCTTCAAACATGATGTCGTAAATATCGGACTGCAGCAGAAAGTAACAAGGTGTTCCATTTCACAAAACCCGGCGATATATGACCGTGGGTTGTTTCCCTTAATAGTTAAATGTCCAATAAAATTTTTATCGTCTTTTTGACGAGATTGTATAAACCAGTTGATTACTTTACTCTCTTTACTCGCTTCTTTTTGCAACTGTCAACCATCAGAATACCAAGATGAAGGTTGGTTGGTAGCAATTATAGAAATAATGAAGTGAGAACTCAAATGTTAGGGGGAGACGATTGTCACAAGAACTTACTAAACGAATAATTTCATTAACTTGTGGTCCAGACAGTATGAGGAGAATGAAGTGTGAAAGCAAGAGGGAAAACGGAGATGATAATAAGCAAGGTAGAAATTAGTTGATATTATGTGATGATGATAAAATTTACGAGACATACATCAGGCACAGCTGATTCAAGAGGGAGATGGTAATCCAAGGGTGAATATTTGTTCGTCATGTCTCCAATTGGGGCCTTTCACTGAGGAGGCTTTAGTCGGTTCAGTCGGCAGAGCATCCCAAATATGAGCAACTCTCAATGAGAAAAAGTGAGAACGGACCTGGGTGTTCTCTCTTCCACGTGCAATTTTCCGAGGGTTGCCTCGAGGAGCGTGGCAATGATGTCTTGATAATATGCTCGTGTTGAGGTGGCTTGGCGCATTCAATATTTTGTATTTCGTTATCAAATCACCTTCTATTCTCCTAAAGCTCGACGAGAATAATCCCAGGAGCTGGGATTTGTCCTTATAAGATTAGTGTTTCAGCTATATTATTATTATACACAAACATCTTATGGGTACATAAGTGTTGTGAAGAAACCATTTTGGGTTTCTTCAGAAAATGCAATAATACACAATTTTCAACAATGTTAGCATAATACTTGCCATATTTAAAAAAATTAGAGTAATAATAGTAGAATATTAATTATAATAAATAGGGTCTGTGTAATTGAGAAGAATATTGAATTGAGTTTAAAGAAGGAAATGGATAAAATAAGGGAATAGAAATAAAGGAGACGTGAAGTACGCAAACAGTTTAATTGGCGTATTTATGAACATAAAACAAGAACAAACGACTATGTATATATCGTCAAATTAGTAACAGAAAATAATTAAGAAAAAACAACTTATTATTGTAGTAAGATATGACGCTAGAATAAATGTTTGTGCAGTCATAATTTGGAGTGATGCGATGAAAGTCCCAACTCAGTGAAAAGGATAATGAAATATCAATATGTATGAGTCATATATGCATAGTGAAGATAAAACGGGTCTGAGAAGTTAATTTAAGTGTAACACAAGTTATTGTCTTAATTACAAACTTCGTAATCTTAAGAATATTTATTTAGAGGGAAAGAAAAGAGAAAAGAAGTGAACACCTATCGAAAAATTTCATCCATGATAAAAATAATAATTGCGTAATGAATATCAACCTCAGAAGGAAACCAACAATTTAGAAAAATAAAATAAAAATCCTTTAATGCACTCGAATAAATACCATGTAGATTTATGTAATAATATACAGTGTGAAACCTGATATTAGTATAAACATAAATGCAATAATAATTAAGAATGATGCTATGAAAGTCACAATTAATTTAAACCTGTTTGATTGCTGATCTCTGTACTTGATCTAGTAGGCTTATATCTCTCTAGAGGAAAATGAGGAATTATCCTGTAGATGAACGCGCGTTATATCAGTTGTGGTTCAGAGGCGTTTTTGCTTCACTGACACAGAGTGGGATAGCTTTTAGATAGACTCTCTCACTAACTCCGAGTGGTCATCTACTCTCAGCTTCCACCACTATTGTGACCATGGGTTGTTTTCAAAGTGTTCACTCATGATCTCGTAGTCCCCCACTGTAGCATGGGCGAGAAGTATTCTCGTCCTTCTGAAGCCCCTTGTTTGTGACCAGGTTGATCATGTTTGTACATTTGATTTTGCTGGATAAGTCTTGGTAGAGCTATAACATCCCTAAAGAGCTTCATTTGGATCCTCTAGATTCCTAACGTTTACACCCATCACAGGCAGGGAACTAGTGTTAGTGAGGTGTAAAAAATAGGGTGGCCGAGACTTACTAATTGCCATAGTATCGTGAAGACTAATGCTACTTGATAAGCAACGCCGCCATCGCATGTTGTGTCCACGATCTAATCCCCGACACTGGTACAATACATAATATCGAGCAGTTTCATCTCACTTTTCTGTCCTCGCATTATGACCTTATGTTAGCCATTTTGTTGCCATATATTTCCTAACGCCTACTCATTGTTCCTTATCACTAACAGGGACTGAATTTTATGCAACGGTCGGTAACTTCACTGGTGTATGGATATGGTTTGTGACTTACTTGACTGTGTGTCTCTTTGCGGCTGTATTGGATGAGTTATTTACAGTATTGAGGATAGATACGTTTGTTTCCGATGGGTTCCTATGTCTCTTCTTTATTAGTTTCGATTATACGAGCATACCACCGAAACGACTTAAAAAGGTGTCTCAAATGGACTTATTGTACTGGCTAGCTGCTTCAGTATCACAGCGATTGTGGACTTGGCCATCACGGAAGTTACTTTCAAATGTCGATTTGTAGTAGTTGAAGTTAAAAGAGGGATTAATAACAGTCTGTATATATTCAGCCGCGCTTACCAGTGTTGGTGCTTAGAGTGGAGTTGTTGCGCTTTAGAGGCTATCAAAAGAACAATAAAAATCTCGGTATTGGTATACTGAGAGAGATTAGAAAGAAGGCGGAAGTAACCGATCGGGAACTAGACCGAATCAGACTATAATCCCACAGAGCGATTTGGTGTATTCTTCACCCGCATTTCTTTTTTGCTCGCTAGTCTTACTAGGGATGGGTACCCGAGTAGTGGTGCAAAATACTGATTGGTTGGGGACCTAGTTTGGTCGTTTGAGTTGAGCGATCCATATCGCACACATTGCCCTCAGATTTTAAATATATTCTTTTTGTCATAAGCTTTCAGTCGAATCTATTGGCTATTGTAATACTATATACCATCCTTAACTTTCAATTTATTATTAGTAATAGTATTCCATGCTCTAAGCTATTTTTGAGTTCATCCTGTATATTATTTTTTATTTTAGGATATGATGCGGCCTGGTCTGCTTGCATATAAACTGCGTATGTCAGAAATGTTCAACTCATACAGCGCAGGCTGATATTTGTTTTCTGGACTGAATGGGTTGGTTTAGGCTAGAAGCTACTGTACTGAGGACAAATAAGGATTCAAAGTTTACTCAAGGTTACTGGTGATGTTTGACGCATCATCAGTTTAGCACAAAGACAAAGTCATAGTAATCGATATAACAACTGGCGGTTTTATCACATGGCATTTAACGGACTATAGGAAATAACACTGGCGGCAACTCCATTACGACACATGCTACTCAATAGACCGAAATGTAAAATGTGAGACTATTTAAGAGGGAAGTATGTAATTCAAAAGTTTCAGAGGAGGAAAATAAAAGAGATAAGCGAATTTTCGCTAGCTTGTCGCCTTATTTCGCAGCATGTGATTTCTTCTACAACTATCGCTGACCGTTTGCTACGTGCTCGCAAGTGAAAGAGTATGAGAATGAGGAACAACAATATCTGAGGAATTGCCTCGAGCGGGCTACCCAACACCATGTCGGTGAGGTGCGATTTTCCCATGCTGAGACCGACTATCAGGTGTTTAATCACCTGCCTCTTGAGTCTCCCTCAAGTAAAAAGTAAAGAAGAACCTGAAGAACTGCTCCACTGCCTACATAAAATAATAAGATACAAAGTGGAAATAAATAAATATAATTGATAATTGTTCGGTTCCACGTAAGCGATTGGCCTCCAAAACGGCTTGGTATTCTGAAAGGAAATAGACATAGTGTAGACATCTTGTGTACGAAAAAGTATGAAAACAAAAAAATCTTTGATAATGCATATATGAAAAAGTGTGAACTTGCTAGAAGTTGGATTATTTGTCAAACCCGATCAAATTTATGACCTTGAGCCTATGATGACCGCCCTTTATAACCAGGTACGATGTGACGGACATATACTATCACGAGATACCCAATTTTCGAGGCATCACTGAATAGATGAAGTTCTAGAAGCGAGCGTGCGATTGCGGAAACGCCAGGCAACGTGGGATAATAATGCTGTCAACCCTCTGAAAGTCATTTAAAAATTCCAACTAACGATTCCCGTCCTCCTCTGAAATCCCATCGTCCAAGCCTAGTCTCATTTTGCTGAAATTTTAAAGTAACTGATTCATGCGAAGTGTAAATAGTGCTAACAATCCCAGGGGATCATAAAATGAGGCTCCACTCGACAATATACCTCGCCTAGTGAGGAGACGTTTTGGTATGCGGACCTCAAACTCAAACGAATCAACTACATTATTCCAGAACAACTCCAACATGCATTCCACAGGAAGCTTATCAAAGTCGATCACTTTAATAGCATCTACTGTTTCTTCTGGATCAATTAATTCGAGAACCTGTGAACAATTACTTATCCACTTAGTATAAATTCACTCTTCTTTAAGAACTAAACCAGCTCAATTGCACCCTGCGAATTGTCGACTGACGTTAAGTAGTCATCAACACAGAAACGACTTCCTGGACATCTTTCGTCAACTTACTGAATGTATCCACGGTCTTACTAAGAGCGAAATCAGCAAAAAAGGAGAGGATACGGCTCCTAAAGCATGAACTGTCAAACAATATTCCTGAGCTTCCCACCTTATATCACCTTCATCCCACCGTAACAGACGAAACGCACCTCCATCTTATCTCGGAATCCTAACTTGAAAAAGCGTCTCTTCGATATCAGCGTTTAATGCTGTTTCACCCAGTCTGTGTCGCAGAAATACACTAACTAAACTATTTACAGTATTTGATCGTCTTACAAGCTGATCATTGAGAGAATAACCTTGACAGATAGCCGCACAATCAAAAACAATTCTCAAATTTACAGGCTTCTTAGGGTTGATAACAGGGTGGTAGGGAATACACCAACAATCTGCTTCACGCTCGAATCCCTCCTTACTAGCTTCAATGATATAGTCCTTACTTAAATGTTTATTCATCACGATTCAACATTTCTCCAGAAGGCTATAATCTTCTACGAACCTCGTCTTTAACATTCTAGTCTGCCTTCAGCTAGCTCCAAATTATTCGGTAGCCTTGGCTCGTCATACTTCCAGAATAGACCAACTTGGAACGTTCTTCCATAACTCAATGTGCGCCTGGATCATCACACCCAATCAGTACTCCTACCAGATTACATTGCAGCGCAGGATTATGTCCTTCAAACGCTTCCACCGTCCCAGGGGAAGTATCTGAACCACTATCTAGAACGGTGGACGTTTCCAAAATTCTTTTGGAATCGTACAGGCTGACCGGGACGATACCCAAACAAACGTTCGACGAGTTCCAATCCTTAGCTAAGTTCATTGCATGATTATTAATATCGCCAATGTGTAACAATGAATTATGCCGAATCTTGCAATTCTCAACGTCACACTTGATTACAAGTTGCATGACTTGGCTATGTGACTCTTCCTCAAAAACAGGTAACATAAACCACATCTTCATGCTTCTTGTCTCTTTTATCTCAATTTCATTTTTGGTAACTTTGTACAGACTGTCCCATTGTGATCACCTAGGCTGAACTCGCAACTTATAACCTTAACTGAGTTGCTTGGTTCCCACTTAACTACATTAAGCGTCATCTCTTATCAACTTGACCTTCATAATTTCTTACACCGTACTTTGAAATACTCCGTACCAATGTACGATAACTTGTCCGAGCAATCCTGGCCCTTTAATCTACAAAGACTACAAATTCTTCAAACCTGGGCTCCTTCCCGGCCATCATGATTTATCGGCAACTTCCACTTATGATAGGCATGACACTATTATTTGCAAATAAGCCATGCGATTCACATCGGACATATACCCCATTTCTTTTGTAGTTATGCATACACTACGTAGCTTAATCGCGAAGTCAGTTAAAATATCAGCTGATCCTTCAGCAGATTTATGGTTGAATAAATCCGTAATTAGTTCGCGAGCAACAAGGTATTCTTTACCAAATAGAGCATATGAAATTTGTTTAGCTGTATCATAACCCAAATAACTGGGCAGTGATACACCAGTCATCCTAGCCTTTCCTTTACAACAGTGTAACAGATAAAACATTTGGCCTTTAACGGATAGTTTGCTCTCGATTATGTTAGTAAACTGACTGACAAAACGGTGGTATTAACCCAGTTGTCTGATGTTTGTGCTGATGATGTCGTTCAGAAGAACGATGAAACCTGCACGACCAAACCATCCAGCTCAGAGAACAAAAATCCACCAAAAAAGATCTAACATCCCAAGCTTCGTTTCTAATTCAAGTCTCCTTTCTAATTGCTCCTTCCTAAGTAATGTCATGCCTAACCAGTTTAGGAGAACTTGTAGTGGCATTGGACAATAGCCACACAATCCACAAAGCTGTGAACACGAGACTACTCAGAAAATAGATATTCAATATTTAACGCGGAGAAATACCTAGAATGAAGAAGGCGCGAACAATGAATTGAATGGACTGGGGTTGATCGAGTGGCATGGCTCGGCCATGCAGGCGTGGTCTCTATTCATATTAAATATATTGTTCCTTCTCTAAACTAACCTTCTTATTCATCATGTATTGGTAATTGATACGATACAGTGAGTTGGCGTAGTCGATGGTGTGACTTCCACGTAAGATCTTATAGATTAGGCAGTTATATCATGACGAATCTACAAATTTAGGATTAGGTCTATTATTAGAGCAGTACTAATATCATAGTAGATCATAGTTCTACATTGGTGAGCCCAACTAAAGAAACGCAACCTATTATTATTAATCCTTATTTCCACTTCAACTTTCTCGATCGATTTTATATTTATGTTAACCCTGTATTCCAATAGTCCTCTGATTAATGCTCACATGCATTATCGTAATGTTATATTGATTAGTCCTCGTGACAAACTAGCTCAATCGATAATAAAAACTGGTCGTCTATATTAACTAATTAGCTTTGATGATTTGTTAACAAGCTGTAATAGCATTTACATGCTTCAGCGACATAGTCATGTTTAAACATCAAGCTCTAGCAAATATGACCTGTAAATAGCGTAAATATACATTGACTAACAATGCGATCAAGGACTAAATAGTTATCTGGATCTAATTCTCAATGTTCCTTCACTTAACACCTCATCCTGTTTTAAACGATGCACTATCCTGTAATATCTTTTCTTCTGACCACTGCCTGCCTAATTTCATATTCTCGAGTTCCATTGCCAAACAACGAGGATGACTACTCCAAAAACATACGGTGAGTTCCAGCTATAAGTTTTCTGCAATCATAAGTTCATTTTAGATGGCACACACAATTATCTGGATTCATTCAGTTGTTCTGATCAGAGCGAGTCCCAAAGACCTCAACAGCATCAAGCACCCTGGAAGTGATTGCCATACTGTATGTTTTATTCTGGATGCTTTTGGATCATTACTACTCCTCACGAATGGCGTTATATATGTCGTCCACTGAATAATCTAATTTTCAAAAATAATCCAGGCGAGTTCAACTATTTTACTGGATGATTTTTTTTTACTTAACATGTATATGTTTTCCGGTTCCTTTTGCCATATATTTGTAAGTGTCACTAAGCTAAATGCAGTAACTTCTTATGGAAGGCTTATAACGCGTCATATTCCTGCCTGAAGTTTCATAAGCAGCCTGGTCGTGTTCATTATTTTTTAACTGTCATATACGTCAACAACCTGCTTGTTAACCTGGCCCGTACATACGTTACACTATATCTCCATGTCTTCTAAATTTAGAAATCATCTGAATCGCCTTTAACATTTATCAATAAACCCATCATAGTCGTTGTTGCTAATCGTATTTGGGTTTATGGATTGGTTTATCATATTAGCAGCCTAAAATGCGAACATAGTTTAGATAATAATATTAAAAATTTAGGTACTGTCAACTGCACTAGTAAAATAACTAAATCATCAGGTAGTTGTTGGCTAAACAAACGTTTAAAATCAAAACTCCGTAGCCTGCTAGAATTAACACTAAACGAATATTTCTGAATTGAAATTTATAATTAAATTAGGCGTCTCGGATTCTTTAACGTTATAAGTTTCTGATGATTTCGAATCACCTAAAGCAACAATACCTATTTTTCCACTGACTAATCCTCAGTCAACACTATAACTAGTTAAATTTAATAGTTTCAGGATATCGTCATAAAGCATTGTCATAACTTGACAATCACGTAATATGACTGATAAAATTAATAAAACTATTAACGAAATCGGTCAACAAATTGACTTATAATTACCATTAAATGGTGTTGTTTTCTTGGTATCTTCATCCATCACAGATGATTACAGTATGTTTCTCTATCAGTTGCTCATTCAATAAATATCTCAAAACCTTTTCAGTCTAATTGATGGTTTAGCGACACAATCATGCATGCAAATAATCAGTATAAGCAGTCGAGCAAATCTCCTGTAAACTGAAAACATCAATGTCGAATTTACCCCAACACTGACTAAGGTTCAAGCCATTATCATAGACATGAGTTGGGAGTGTACTCCCCCTGGTTACAACTTATGTTCTCCCTGATAATCACAAGAGCATCACTCACTATTAATCATCTTGTAAAAACTTATTTAGCTAAATACATTTTGCAGCACCACATCACTTCGTAATATGACACAGGTCTAACTGATTTTAATAACTTGTAACCACTATATCTCAATTAAATCGTGTTCCGCCTTATGATAAACTGCATACTTGCAACTAACTTGTATGTCCAATCAGCCGGCAAGTATAAATACAAGTAAATAGTCTGCCACAGATCAGAACATTGAGTCTAGAGCATGTCTCTTACGAATACGCTCATGTTTAACGATTTGTTCCTAGCTATCTGTCCAAAATTCATATAATCATCACTCACGTATTTAAATTTTATTTTGGTAACCATTCATGTGTATTAGTAGTATTACCAAATTCTATCACGGTCAAGTAAAAATGAGGTTGAGAAAATCTCCCCGTAACTAAATAAACCGTATCAAACTAACTGGAACACTAGTTGGAATTATTCTCCACGTTATAACTTTTGTTCCTTCAGTTAACCTACTAATATAAATGCAATTGGAATTCAACTCATATGGACAACTTACCGGTATAATCGTTATCTGATTTCATAATTTGAACCAAAACTAATACCAATATTAACATTTCTACAATATTCATTATTTTAATATTTCTAAACACAAAATACTTACTACCTATACGTCAAGTTATTAACCAACGGCTATTAACACGCATTGTTTTATTATTATTACTGTAATCCCATTTTTTATAGCTCAAATAATCTTCACCCAAATTGTCATTTTAAGTGTGTTAAGCATGAAGGCAGATTTTTTAAAAAAAAAATTATTACATGTATTTCCCGACCAGATGCTGCCGCCTTCTTTTTGAATTATCTTTCAGCTTATCATTACCCGGGGGATTCTTCCTAGTCTTGGTAACCTTCGGCGCACGACGATCCCATCCAATTTGGTATCGAACCAACATCACGTTGATTCTGGTGGGAGAGTAGTGTAGTGGCATTGGACAATAGCCACACAATCCACAAAGCTGTGAACACGAGACTACTCAGAAAATAGATATTCAATATTTAACGCGGAGAAATACCTAGAATGAAGAAGGCGCGAACAATGAATTGAATGGACTGGAGTTGATCGAGTGGCATGGCTCGGCCATGCAGGCGTGGTCTCTATTCATATTAAATATATTGTTCCTTCTCTAAACTAACCTTCTTATTCATCATGTATTGGTAATTGATACGATACAGTGAGTTGGCGTAGTCGATGGTGTGACTTCCACGTAAGATCTTATAGATTAGGCAGTTATATCATGACGAATCTACAAATTTAGGATTAGGTCTATTATTAGAGCAGTACTAATATCATAGTAGACTATAATACTACAAACTAAGCCGGTCAAGACACATACTATTACCACTTACATCATCATATTCGTCATCGTTAACATCGAACACACTACAAACAGCTCTAGAAATCTCATATTTCATTTCGGCATTCTCCTCCTACATTCCACTACTCGTTTTCATTGTATGACTTTGTTCGATTGAGTCGGTTACCAGCCAAATCTGAATTAATCCAAGAGAAGTCGACAAATGAAGTTAGAAAATTGGATCCAAAATGAATGTCCGAACAAACCCAAAGTGTGAAGAATAGAGAGCCAATAACTGAAGAATTTTTATGTAACGTCCAAGTTTTTGCTCTCTTCCGATGTTGAAGTACGGTATGTCGACATACTTTTACATCACGAATCCAAAATAATAAAAGAACCAAACTTCAATTCAGGCATCGAAGTTTATTCGCAATTAACAAACAGTCAACCTAAATGTCGTCTGATAATAATCATAACATGTGCAAAACAAACCATTAAATTTTTGGGTTCCCTGAGCGAAATAATCTAAATACCAAACCAAAGGCAAAGAGAAACTTAAATGTCCAAAAACAAAGATACAAACGAACAAGTTCAGAAGTTGTGGTTCCAGATTCAGGTTTATGTAGTAAAGACAGAAGAACTACGGCCTATGTTGTTCCTTTTCTAGTAGCCTTCTGTGAGTGTCTAGTCTTCTCTTGAATGAGTCAATTGAAGGTGAGGACATCACTACTTCGGGTGACAAGTTCCAAAAACCGATGGCTCAGTGTGAAAACCTGTGTACCAGGTGTATTTTGTTCGTTCTTGACTTTTCTACTTTACAACAGTGTCATCTGAGATGTTCTGATCTGGTGGGAGGAAAAGAGAGGATATATTAGGTTCAAAATCATTTCCTGGAATTCTATAATTCAAAATCAGACCAATTCCTAATCTGCGGTAAGACATACTAAGAGGTTTGGCTCTTCAAGTCGCTCTTTATATGATAAGCTCCAGAGTTCTGGAATTGCACAGGTAGCTGTCCTCTGTACTTCTTCCAGGATATCCGTGTCACCTTTGGAGCAGGAGCTTGCAGCCTGAACATGGCTTCTAAGTTTACATCTCACTGAGGTCCTGTGTACTGTATTGAACATGGTAG